AGCCTTCTCCTTCACTTGTCAGGAGGGTAAGTAAATGGGAACACAGGCCTTTCATAGAACCCCCTCCCCCACCTTGTGTGCTCAAGCCATATGCTTAGCTAACTCCCTCAATTGCACTTGCTCTTTCTTGCACTCTCTATTTTATTTCCTTTTTCATCAGCACTCTCATTCAAAGAATTTTATCATCACTACAGCAAAATAGACAGACAAAATAGTGTTTTATTGGGTTCATTTAAAAGATATTGAGTTATTGCATATGTTTTATTTTTCTTGTGTTTCAATTTGAAAAATAGATAAAAGAATCATTAACAATGCTATTCTTAACTTTACACACTCCAGCCATGGAGTTATACAGTCCTTATGATCACTATTGTTCACTAAGCCTGCCACACATATTGGAATTTTGTTAGTTGCATTCTCAGTAGCTATCCACACGGCCAACTCCACTCACTTCCGTACACAGACTTTTTTTTATCAGTACATTGAAAGAAATGAACAGTGTGAAAACAATGAGCTTTTGGAAGTAAGATTTAGTGGCACAATTTAGAAAAAATGATTATGAAGTTTACAGCATCACAGCTTTAAAAGTTATTTGAGGTTTCTTTAAAGCATTTAAAGAATGCATGTTTGTAATTTTGCCTCTGTGCACCACCACAATGGATTTGAAAAGAGGAAGTCAAGATGTGTAGACTTTCAGCTTTAATTCAGGGGATTTAACAAAAATATTACATTAACAGTTTAGGAATTACAGCCATTTTTCAAATAGTCCATCCATCTTTACAGATTAAAAAAATTAATTGGAAAAATTAATATAATTATAAATACAAGGATTATTTTTAAAACTTGCAAAGCCTTTGCAGTCAATGACTGCTTGAAGTCTGGAACCCATGGACAACACCAAATGCTGAGTTTCCTCTCTTAAGATGCTTTGCCAGGACTTACTTGTTTGTAAGTCTTTCTGCCTTCAATTCTGTCCTCAGTAAGTGAAATCATGCTCAATGTTTTGACGTCAGGTGACTGACTCAGCCATTTAAGAACATTCCAATTTTTGGCCTCAAGAAGCTCTTGGTTTGCTTTCACGGTATGTTTTGGGTCATTGTCCATCTGTACTGTAAAGTACCATCCTATCAGTTTTCCAGCATAGCTCTATATACTTCAGAATTCATCCTGCCAACTTCCTCGAGAATGTCCTTGACTAGATGTGGTGAAGGGGTTTTTCTTCACCAAAAAGAATTCAGTAATCACCCAGTTGTATTCAGTGGTCTTGTTGACTCAAAGACTCATAAAGTTTCCAGTATATGTCTGATAGTTAGCCTAATCATGGCCTCTTTCAATAGCATCAATCTCCCATGAACTGCTGCAAAATGCATATTCAACACTAAATTTTTTCTCCAGACCTTTTATCTCCTTAATGTGTCATGAAATAACAAGGAAACAGGCCACATCTGGACATGAAACTGTTTATTAGTCAACTGACCAATTAATTTTGAGCCTGTGAAAATGGAGGGACTATGGCTGCAGTTCCTAAGCTGTTAATGCTATATTTTTGTTAAACCCCTTGAATTAAAGCTGAAAGTTGACACATCCGGACTGCTTAATTTTTTTAAATCCATTAAGGTGGTGTACAGAGGCAAAATTACAAAAAAAAATGTGTCACTGTCCAAATACTTTGATGGGTGTCCCGCTTTGCTGTAGGTGGGTCTATCTAATTTGAAAGATATTGCCTATGAGGTCCTGGGTTAACTTCACTCAACCTAACAGTGGACACTTAAATTGCAATTGTATTGTGGGTTATGTGTTTCAGGCACACATTGTGTGTGACAGACTTTGAGACAAGCATCCACACTGCTCCCATCAAATCTAACTTCTTTTTCAAATGATTTTGCACAGATTTGGCAGTTTATGGAATGCATGGAGACGTTGGCTCAGCTTCTTTTTTTGTGCCCTAAACATAATAAACATGACATTAGGGATTTCAGTAAAAGTATGTTTCTAAAATGACAGTGGAGGTACTGTATGAATATCTCTAACATCATGGCTAATGTGCAAGTCAGTTTACAGACTAGCATCCAATGTGCCTTCCATTACATGCTGAAGGATTTGCACATCACTGTGTACATACATTCATGATTACTTGCCTTTTTAACTTGTTCTATATCAAAATTATCAAGTCTCCAGTTCAAATAGGCCCCAACTGACAGGCACAAATCACATCCAGGTCTTCATTAACGTTAGCTAAATGCCTTGGGTAGCCATGCCCCTCATGTGCACACACCACACACAGGCAAATGGATACTAGATCACATTCACAATTTGTTATTTCTATTTATAAACAAATAAAATTCAAGATTATCATTATTTATAAATAGAAACAACAGAAATCACAAATTTAATCTGTAGCATGCATATGTCTATGTGATGTATGTGGGCGCAAAGGGCGGTCAGAAATCTACCATACAAAAATAAATGTATGTACATGAATTTATCAAATACATTTGAAAATGTATGAAAATAGCCAATTTACTTGTCTAATGCACTTTACTGTTTGGAATAAATCAAAGTTTATGATCATTAGTTGAAAAACTAGTTCATCACAGTGAGAGTGAACAAGTCTAACAAAAAGCTCAGCTCTTTAGTGAAGCAAAAATCATAGCACTATGACCAGTGTGCAAAATACCCCCCTGGTCATCAGGGGCTCCCATGTTGTCTGGCTACTCCAGCTCAGGCTGGCTGCTAACTTACTCGCCATAGCAGCACTGATACTAGCTTCAATGGCAGCAAATGTTTGGTTTAAAAATTCTTCTGCTGAAAATGGTTTTTCAAGTTTGGTAATGCTTTCTTCTACATATTAATTGATCTTGAACATTTCCTCTTGTGTCATCAGTTCAAATGAGCAAAGATTCACTCTTTTCCACCAAACTCTTAGGACATTTTTCAGATTTACAAATGTATTCCAGCATATTGTAAAGTCTTTCTAGGCTATGAAAGACCAACTGGGTGAAACAATTTGGTACAGTGCCACCCTGAGGCAGGCCAGTGTTGCATCTCTAGTTAGTTAGGAATACCAACGACAGAAGCTCGCAGATTAATAGGTGAAGCATCTAAACAATTATTTTTCCCTGAATTTGTATTTAAGTGTCTATTGTTTTCTAAAAGAGAGGCTAACTTCATTTCCAGGGACCCCCCAGAATTTTGAATTTGAGACATTCAGGGGGTCTAAGTGGTTAATTGGAGTATCCTGGACCCACCAGAACCCATGTATTTCATGGCTTGATTATGGTTTTACTTGAGCTGCTGGCCTTTCATGCAGAAACTGTGTATTCATATGGTAAAGTATGTTTGAAAGCATCTACCATGTTTTGTGAAGGACATAGGCCTAAATGTTTTCAATGAGGGAAATCTGCAGCTCCATCACACTTACAGTGAACTGTACTCCACGTTGTATTAAAGTGACTACTGAATCATTAAGAATGCTATTAACTGTTATGTATTAAACTTCTCTAACCAAATCCATATAAACTGACATCTCAGCACAAGTCATTATGTACTTAAAGACACACTGGCCAATAATAGTGAAACATTTAGAAGAAAAAAACACAATATTTATAATCTGATGATTTGTTTTACAAAACTCCAGTTATTCAAAATGGTTTTAGAGTTTTGATTTTTTTTTTTTTTGAAGGCATAGACAAGACAAATAGAAGCGTGCACATCATAACTTACAAGTAAAGGAATATAAAAAATATTTTATACATGATAATGCCTACACATTTCATTCATAATTATATCAAAGATGCCCAGAATTATCTTTAGAGAAAGGAAAGTTTGAAATCAATATTTCCTTTGTAGGTGGACCATATATAGCACAACTCTGTTAAATTGGGAAAGGATGCATGCTTACTGTGTTTTAAATTTGTTTCTGATTTCCAAAAGTGCTTTGAGTCTATAATGTTAAAAAAGTTATAAGAAATGGTTGAAAGCAAAAGAGACCATATAAACCTCACAACTCACATATAATTTAGTAATCTACTTTTTATACAATAGTTGTTTTTGTTCAGTCATTTTTATCATGTTTTTCTTAGATCAAGGTCGTGAAACGTTATAAAATATCAGTTTTGATAGGATTACTGTTTTTTCATTGAAGCGTTTTCTCCAGGGCAAAATATGTGATTGAACATGCCAAACTACCCAAAGATGCTATTGCGCACTTCCTTTTCAAGCTGTTTTAACAGCACTCGTTCCAGATATTTAACACAAATTTTTTGCACCCTATAGCGAAGTGTTTGTCCCTCTACTCTCCCAGCCACGGAGACGCCTCTTTTGTGCCAAGAAATTATTTACAGAGGAAAGATGCTGTCTTGAAAGCATCCTGCTTCCTAATGTTCATCCTATACAAATAAAAGCCAAATACCTGAATCGTTTCACATCTACAAATGTAATTTTGTATTGTACACGAGTGAACGCAAACTGTGTTTTGCAACGTACAGCATGACTGGTCAGAGGCGGTGGCATGACTGGTAAAAAAAGCTGACTTCCAAAACATAATCTTGTCTTTTTTGGAAAAATGAGAACCGAAATGCTAAACATGCGTTATTAAAATTCATTCGAAAACCATCTTTACGATGAAACAACAGCAGACATTCCGCGTTGAAAGCCACGAAGCAATGCGCCTAGCAGCATCTTTAAGTCCATTCATAACGACGATATTATTCTCATCATTTACGTGTTGAATGATGAGAGTGTTCCGCTGGCGTTTGTCAGAATTCAGTATTGACTTTTCGCAAAGATCAGAATTAAAGCGTTGTATTTCCGGCAAAAAATGGCTAAAAAATGTACCTAGGGATGGGTTTTTCACCATCTGTCGAAGACGCAAATTAATGGCAATATTGTATGCCATTTCTCTCCATCACAGAACATTGTGCAATGTCGTATACAGGTTATGCTGCTGTTGATAATCTGCATCAGCAGAGAACAAAGTAAAAACGGTTTAGTATGCTTACCTGAGGTCCCTGCCCACTCGCGAGAGAGGATGTCTGCAAACGATGCGGACTAATTCAGCGTAGAGTCACAGCAAAGCGTCGACGACTGCGCATGCAAGGACTATTAAAGAGAGCATTTATAGCCACGGGGGGTGCTCCCGATTGTCACCATACTGCAGCGAGAAACCGCATAAATCTTTTCAGATCTTGCCATAGGCGCTCATTGAGCTTTGCGTGGGACACTCCTCAAGTAGTCTTACTGTACAGCGTGCCCTTGATACTTTGCTTTGGAAACCCCACCACTCATGAGAGAGAAATGGATGAATGAGGAGGAGAAATGGGGAAAAAATATTCCATTTTTTCCATTTTATGTTCTTCAAAAATCCTATTTCCAATTTTATTCATGGGACTTTATAACTTTCAGAGTAGATTTTTTACACGGTTAGACCGATTTTTAATAGGAATATTGAAATTCTAACCCAGAAGGGTAAGCGGCTTAGAAAATGTGTATGTGCGTGTGTGAAATGGTTGTGGTTACCAGTCGTTTCAGATAAAAGCAGTTCATTGTAGCCTATGTCACATTTGCCTTGTAAGCTTCCACAAATTTCAAAGACTGCCTTATTTCTAGGTTTTGAATTACCCTACATTGTGAAAGGCGAGCAGTACCACACTGAAAAAAATGAACTTGGCCCTTAGTAAATTTTACATAATAAAATTGTGCATGTTTTTCTCAATTTAAATGTGTTTTTGCTTCAACTAAATAATAATAAGCAATGCTGAAAACCAGTAAACTAAACATATGAAACATGCCTAAAGTGAATTAGAAATAATTATGTCGTGTCAAGGGGTAGAAACTGCGCGTGCGCATGCACAACTTTTACCCGAGCTGACTGCAGCCATTTTCTACACCTCGGCTCTGGCAAGATTTGACTTACCTGAGGAAATTCTGTCATCTTACATTTACAAGGTAGGATATTGTATATTGTCTATTGTTTGTCATTATGGACATATAACATGTTCATGACATTTACGCAGAAAAATATTGGCAAAAAACGTAAAGTTAAGGGAGGACTTAGCATGGCTTAAAATTCGCTAGCTTAGCTAACTTAGCTAGCTAGCCAGGTTAGTTTAAACCGACGCATATTCAAAGTACACATAACGTTACTCAGTCAAATAATCACTAAACTTACTAAAGCTGATCGCAGTGTTTTAATTGCAAAGCTCAGTGTTTTAATATTATGTGTCCTTCATAAGTATCTGTCTATGTTGAGGTCACTTGAGGTCCTCACTAAGTTTGCTCATGAACACAACCGTTAGCTAACGTTACTGTTGACCTAGCCTAGCTAGCTAAGTAACGGCGCCATTTTCTGAAGTTCACTGCAGACGAGTGCGTTTAGCTGCTGTGTCATCGTACAAGTACACGGTAAAATATTGTTTTGACTGTTGTAGACGCACACAACGCAGCGTTGGATATATCTTTGATGAAACGTACAGTTAAGGGACGGCTAGCATAGCATAAGTTTGTGAGGGGCACAGCTCAACACATATTCGAAGTAAACAGACCTAGCTAGCGTTAGCTAGTTGTGTGTCCTTGACATGGCCTGTAATAATCTTTTCCCACGGAGGAGGCTGTGCTCGCTTCGCCTGTGATTTTGGATCTGATGTTTGGGTACTAGGTGTCCACAAACCTGTGTAATTTCAACCTTAGTTAGTTAGGTTAGCTAGCTAGCTAGCTAGCTCCACCGAGCCTGGGGTTTGGATATGGAGCCTGCAAACTCTATTGTAGCTAGCGTTAACTTAGCAAACATAGCGTTGGCAGCTAGTAGGTTACAGACATCAGCTAACTGGTTTAATTTCAACGTTTGTCCATTTAACACTTAATGCTCCGTTCGATGAACCAAGTTTGCAATGTGATGTTCGAACTTGGACTCTGATACCGTTCGCGCAGCTAGCTAGCGTTAGTTAGCTAAGCAAACGTTAATGTTAGCAGCTAGCTGGCTAACTTAGCTAGTAGGCTACAAGCACCACGAAGCAGGTTTAAGATTAATTTCAGCTTTCTGTTCCTTCAAAACCAATCGCTCGACTTTGCTCTATCAGAACTGTCAGTGGAGCTTTAGTTCGGCATAATAGAATCCGTTATCTTGTTAATTAGTAAGCTAATGCTAACTGTTAAGCTCTGTAGTGGAAAAGAGGTTTATGTTTGCCCACATAACAGCAGAGTGTCATTGCTCATTATTATAATCAGAACATTATTTTGTATATAAGATGGTGCACACACACTCACAAATGTATTTTGCTCATGTAACTCCCCTGTCATTGTTACCAAAAGGGGTTTACCTTATGTTTAGTCAAGCAGCATTTATGTTAAACATTATGGTCTTCAAGTGCTAAGTGGTAGAAGTAATTATTATACATTGATTTTGATGCTCAATAATGCACAAACCCTAGACAGGGAATCCTGATAGCCATATTGATTAAAAGAACCTTGACGTGACTTAAATATCATAGTTGGTTTCAAACTAAAACAATGTTCACAGGATTAAAACAAATGAGTAAAATAATATATATTATTGTAAGACAATTAAATTTCAGCCAAAATAATGCACTGTTATGTCCTTCCACATGGTGAGATAAAACATTAAGGTAAAGCAATAAAACATTAAAGTAAAGCTTATGTTTAAGATAAAATGTTAACATGGTCTTTCATTTAATTTTATTTAAATGCCCACTTTGTTTATAGGTTACGGCTTACCAAGATTGTTAAGTGCCATGTTTTAAAGGATTCTCTGGCATGTTCTAAGTCTCTGGTAAGTGCATTTTTATGACCCAGATTTGATATTTAACTATGAGGCTATTTGTTTTGTAAAGCTACTTTTTATTTATTTGTTTTATTGTTCAAATGAGTAATCATTTTTCAGTCTCTAAGATGATTGGGATTTTGATGTTCATATGTTTCTTTTATCTGTTCCTTGTATTCTTGTCAAGTTAATGTACCTTTTAAACAGTTGAAGATATATTCTAACAAGTGCAATCAATATGTGCAGGCGAAGAATGTCCACCTTAAAAGAGAAGCCATCATAAAAGCTCTTTGTCGGCACCTGAATGATGATGATGATGGATTTCTTATCAAGGAGTACAGGGTAAGTCAGTATGTGACCTAAGCACATCACCATCATTCTAATTCAATTCTAATTTCTGACTAAGGTAAATTCATCTTATTTTGTATTTGTGCTCTTTTAAATACTGTGTGTGTCTTCCAGGCACCTCAGTTCTTATATCAATTGCTTATAACATTTGCTTAATACAACCAGCCCCCTCCCATCTGTGTAGTAAATCCAAATCGAAAAGAGGCGTTGATGTGTTAGTATGTTAGGACCAACCATAGATTGTAGGTGCTAATGTGAGAAGGGTGATCTCGAACTATCCATTTTGTAATGTGTATTTTACCATTGAATGGAGTTTTGTGGAGATGGGGGCTGATTTTATTTATATTCATCGTAAAATAAGTATTTGATATTAAACTGTCGGAGATACCTAGAAGTATTTAGAAGAGCTCAAATGAGAAATAAACTGAACTTACTCTTTATGGAGCAAGAGTACAATGGAGTTTAGTATTAATAACAAGATTTAATTCGTAGGACGTTCATGGTGAAGACATATTGAGAGACCAGCACAGCACTGAAATGGGCATTTATGTCATCAGAAGAGGGTGGAACTCTTGGAGAATATGAAGACGTTGACGCTGATGGAAACGTTATTGTAGGAAACATCAAATCAGTTGCACCAGACTGCACAATGGGTGGAAATACTGCTATGAATTTGTACATTCCTCATGCCAAAGGATGGTGCAAAGCTCTCCCCTAATATTCTTGGTTTGGAGAACAAAATCTTGGGATAGTCAAAATAGGCTGTCCATTCTGGAAATATATGGAACTTTTCACACTAGCTTCTGTTTTGATTGAAAAGCAATGGGCTTTTGAACAATGCTTAAGTCACATGAAACAAGTATGGCTGTATTTGTCAACATCTCTTTTAAAATTCAATGACATTTCAGTGATTTTCTATACAACATGTCAAGATCCTGGTCATGTTTAGGAACAATTTGTCTTAAAACAGCATGCAGTTAAATTTTAGTCTTTTTTTGCTAAAGCTGTACAAAGTAGTCTTTTGAACAATTTGAGGTCTATAAATTTTCACCCTAAATTTGCAAAGTCTAACAAGCAGCATAAGGTTGTGCTAACTAGAGGCAGTGCTTTGACAAGAAGGCTGTACTCTGTAGGCACTATTTCTGGGGCATTATTTTGATCATTATACAATATCCAATTATCATCAAAGTCATATAACATTTAATACTGTATTATTGTGCTGTTCTATTTTAAATATCTGTTGTTGTAAAGTTGCACTTAAGGTTGGTGTTATCATTACATAATTACTGAATCTTACTTCATTGTTTCATAAATTCTGGGCCACTACTTAAGACTTAATTAATTGTGATTAAAGGCACACACATTTAGGTGAATGTGTTTATAATTGCAGTGTTCTATTTGAAGCTTATTGTTGTATGTAAAGTTGCATTTTAGCTTGTGTTGCCTGCAAGACAAGCAATAATGTATTGATACCTGTGCACTTTTAGAGAAGTATTTAGTCTATTTTTTTACTACTTTGCTTTATTTTGTCTACAGTTGTTTTATTACTTATTATTCGGTGTTTTTCTAAAATTGTACATTAATAAATGCTCTGTGATATAATTAAGCTGTTGTACATAATAAACAATGAGTATTTGGAAATACATCAGAATTTAGTAGTTTTACTAAAAAGTTATTTAACAATCTACATCATTTAAAGAAATAGCATGAACATGATTAAATTTAGTTAAAATTACACTTCAAGGAAATTTTACAAAATATAATTAAGCTGACATAACTTACAAGCAATGAGTAAATGTCATCAGAAAGGCATCAAATTTGAGTTGTTTTAACTAAAGTTGAATTTATAGCAATCTACATAATTTGCCTAAGTAGAAAGAACATGATTCATTTTAGTTAAAGTTACTGAAGTTATTGAAGTAAATCCTGCAAAATATAGTTAAGTTGACATTGCTTATAGGTAATAAGTAAATGTTACTATTATTATATTTCTGAATGTAGATAATTTAATTTCGTGCAACACTTTCATGAAAAAAAAAAAGTAAATTCAAAGTCATTTTTTTTGAGTGCAGTCTACAATGCTAGTGCAGTACAGAGTGAGAGTGTGTGTGTATATATATATATATATATATATATATATATATATATATACACACACACACACACACACTCTCTCATGGTGTTTTTTTTTCTCTTTTCATAACCAAATGGGTCATGGGTGAGATTTGAGAGTGGCTGATAAATGACACACACAGTACATCGATTTTCAGCAAATACTAACACAGAGCCAATACAGCAGTCTTCAGCTAGTACTATCACAGACCAAGGTGAAGTATAGGCAGCCTCAGCCAGTACTAGCATCAGATACACTTAGTAACATTTAAGATTGTATGGCAGATGTGCATTTGTGTAAATGACTGTTTAACTAAATAGGTGATATAATTTCTAAGTTTCTTTCAGACAGTCCAGATAGACTGGTGCCCCTGCTGATGCTGAAAATGTCCAGGCTGTAGAGGAAACCAAGAGTTAATCACAGAGATTTAAGGGATTTATTTTATTATTTTGAGATAGCTACAGCCAAATACCAGGCAGCAGAGCCAAAGCTCATTGTTACATTTTCTGTTTTTGTAATTTGATATTTTCTATGTTTTTTTTTTAGGTTCATATGTTAATATTCACTTCAATAAATATTCTATTCAATAAATATTATTTGTTTTTACCTTATTCTGCTCTAAATAGGTCTACTTATTCTTAGACCAACAGATGGAGCAAGGAGGGAAGATTGTAGTGGGAGCACTGGGGTGTGTGGTTTCAACTTCAAATGGTTTACATGGCTCATGGGTCAGGTAGGAGGGCTCCTTTGCAGAATTTTACTTTGGGATCCAGAAAGATAAGGAGGACCACTCTCTTGCATCTTTTACCATAAATAGCTCATGTTTAGCTACCAGCCTACTGGCATGTTGCATCCTTATAATTGTCTACTACTACCAATATTACTACTACTACTACTACTACCCTATTTCCAAAAAAGTTGGGATGTTGTGCAAAATGTAAATAAAAGCAAAATGCAATGGAGTGCAAATCATTTAAACTGAAAATAGTGCCAAGACAACATATCAAATGTTGAAACTGAGAAATTTTATTTATTTCTTTTTTTTAATATATGCCCATTTGGAATTTGATGCCAACAACACGTTCCAAAAAAGTTGGGACGGGGGCAGGAAAGGAAAGTTGTGTAATGCTAAAAAACACACCTGGTGATTAATTGATATGGTATAAAGAGCATCCCAGAGAGGCTGAGTCTTTCAGAAGTAAAGATGAGGTGGGGTTCACCTCTCTGTGAAAGACTGCACAATCAAATAGCGCAACAATTCAAGAATAACGTTTCTCAACATAAAATAGCAAAGAACTTTTACTTTTCATCATCTACTGTACATAATATCATTAAAAGATTCAGAGAATCCAGAGAAATCTCTGTATGCAAGGGACAAGGCCAAAAAACAGTATTTGCTGGCTGTGATCTTTAGGCGGCGCGGCATCAAAAACAGACCTGATTCTGTTGTGAAAGTCACTGCATGGGCTCAGCAACGCTTCTGAAAACCACTGTCTGGGAACACAGTTCGCCGGTGCATCCACAAAGGCAAGTTAAAACTCTAAAACGCAAAGAAGAAACCATATATAAATAGGATCCAGAAATGCTGTCACCTTCTCTGGGTGTGAGCTCATTTAAAATGGACTGAGGCAAACTGGAAAAGTGTCCTGTGGTCTGACAAATCAACATTTGAAATTCTTTTTGGAAATCATGGACGCTGTGTCCACCAGGCTGAAGACCACTCGGCTGATGATGGTATAGGGGTGCATTAGTGCACATGGCATAGGTGACTGGCACATATGTGAAGGCACCATTAATGCTCAATGATATATACATGTTTTGGCAACATATGCTACCATCCAGATGACGTCTTTATTTCAGCAAGACAAGGCCAAACCACATTCTACACGTATTACAGCAGCATGGCTCTGTAGTTAATGAGTCCAGGTGCTAAACTGGCCTGGCTGCAGTCCAGTCCTGTCACCCACTGAAAACATTTGCCGCATTATCAAATGAAAAATACGACAAAGGAGACCCCGAACTGTTGAGCAGCTGAAATCCTGTATCAAACAAGAATGGGAAAACATATCACTTTCAAAACTACAGCAGTTGGTCTCCTCTGTTCCTAAACGCTTACAGAGTTTGTTAAAAGAAGAGATGATGAAACACAGTGGTAAACATGTGCCTGTCCCAACTTTTTTGGAACATGTTGTTGGCATCCAATTCAAAATGGGCATATATTTTTCAAAAAACAATACAATTTCTCAGTTTCCACATTTGATATGTTGCCTTGTTGTAGTATTTTCCGTTAAAAATATGGTTTACTTGATTTGCATATCATTGCATTCTATTTTTATTTACATTCTGATCTTCCAAATTTTTGGAAATGGGGTTGTACTACTACTGCGACTAATAGTAGTAATAATAACCTTTATGTAAATGGCCCTTTTCATTTTAGTTATGAAACCTTTTTTGTATTGCTACCCCGTTTCCAAAAAAGCTCAGATGCTGTACAAAATATAAACAAAGATAGAACACAATGATGTGCAAATCATTTAAAGCGTTTTATTTAAATTAAAATAGCACACAGAAAACGTATCAAATATTGAAACTGAGAGATTTTTTTGGGTCTGAACTGGAGGCAAAGCAGTTGCTGAGCCATGCTGCTATAAAAAATGCTGAATGTGGTTTGGCATTGTCTTGTTGAAATAAACAAAAGATGTCATCTGTATGGCAGCATGTGTTGCTGTATTAAATATTTAACTAGGGCCCAGAGAACGAAACCGTTCTTATGTGCTTGATTTTTTGATGTTCTATTCAGGGCCTAGACCCTGCCATGATGGCGTATTACCCCATAAAACACTGTGTCACAGCTTCACATTCCCAAGCCCTATTAAAAAATCCAGGACCAGAAAATTACCTTAAGCTCTGGAGTTCAAGACCTGAGGTCTGTACTATACCGGGTCCCAAAGTCTGACCTAATGCAAATTTTAGCAGATTGCTTGCTTACTACTAACACTGATGTCACAGTCTGTATATAGTAGGGCTAGTCTGGACAGGTCCGAATTCTGAGACACATGGAACACTGGCAAAAATGCTACAGACATTCAATCATTTTTTCCTCTCTCTTTTTTCCCAGACCCCATATGGCAAGCCATTTTAGTCTAAAATGACACCAGCAATACAAGCTGTATTTCAGTTTTTACTAGTACAAACATTATTCTGACTAGTCAAATTGTAATTCTGACTAGTAAGAATAAGAATAATAGATGTGTAATTTAATTTTAACTACTGAAATATATATGTTCACTAGTAAAAATTATATTTTTACTAGTCAAAATTTTATTACAGCTCTCTTTAATGTAATTATACACTGATTAGGCATAACATTATGACCACCTCCTTGTTTCTATGCTCACTGTCCATTTTTTGAGCTCCACTTACTATATAGGTGCACTTTGTAGTTCTACAATTACAGACTGTAGTCCATGTGTCTCTCTGTATACTTTGTTAGCCCCTTTTTACCCTGTTCTTCAGTGGTCAGGACCCCAGTGGACCCTCACAGAGCAGGTACTATTTGGGTGGCGGATCATTCTCAGCACTGCAGTAACACTAATGTGGTGGTGGTGTGTTAGTGTGTGTTGTGCTGGTACAAATGGATCAGACACAGCAGTGCTGGTGGAGCTTTTAAACACTGTGTCCACTCACTGTCCACTCTATTAGACACTCCTACCTTGTCAGTCCACCTTGTAGATGTAAAGTCAGAGATGATAGCTCATCTGCTGTCAGTTTGTGTTGGTCATCCTCTAGTCCTTCATCAGTGGTCACAGGATGCTGCACACAGGACGCTGTTAGCTGGATATCCAGCAGTGACACTGAGGCACTCAGACCAGCACAACACACACTAACACACCACCACTACATCAGTGTTACTGCAGTGCTGAGAATGATCCACCACCCAAATAGTACCTGCTCTGTGAGGGTCCATGGGAGTCCTGACCACTGAAGAACAGGGTAAAAGGGGGCTAACAATGTATGCAGAGAAACAGATGGACTGCAGTCTGTAATTGTAGAACTACAAAGTGCACCTATATAGTAAGTGGAGCTGATAAAATGTACAGTGAGCATAGAAACAAAGAGGTGGTCATAATGTTATGCCTGATTGGTGTAGATATTAACTAGTAATTATTTCTTATTAGTAACAATAAATATAACCAATCTCATTTATAAAAATATTACTCGTTGATAGATATACTAGTTAAACTAATGTTTCAGATATCTAAAACTGACTTCTCACTAGTCAGAACTCATACAACATATGCTAATTTATAGATGACAATTCACCTCCTCTTTTCTCTGTCACATTTTAAGCACAGATTCCTTGGACTGTATTTCAAAATAAAAGTCACTCATGGTGTATGGCAGGTTACTATTATTTAGTTCACAAAATGAAATTATAACAACGGCCTTTCATTGTGTAGCGTTAAAGCCCTGTTATCCCACATGCAGCAGTCTATCTGTGTACTCGACAACCCAATGCATATGTGTGGTGCATGAGGCAAATTTCTCACTAAGATATCTGCATTTGGCAGGAGGTGGAAGATGCTCTGGCTTTAACATTTATGTATCAATTAATATTATAATGTATTTTTCATGGCTTGCCAAATTGCATACATGCTAATGCATTTTTAGCTTATTTGGTTAAATTCTGGTTAACCTTTTAATTTTTTGGCTTGTTGGCTGCACAAGATTTAGATTTTGACCTGATCTAGGCCAGAAACAAAAAAGATTTTGAGTAGGCCTGGTTTTCACTTTCACTGGAAAAACAATCTATCCACATTAACTCTCAAAAGTAACCTGCTGTTTATTTATACTGGCACATTCATCAGGCACACTTAATAGCAGTTCAGTTTAAAAGTTAACATACTTTTAAAACTACATGGTGCAGTACAATTAGATCTAAAATAAATCATAGACAAGGAAATCACAAATTAAACTCTGCTTTATTTTATCCTTTAGGGTCCAACCCACCACAAAAATGTCATGGCCAGTAAAGGTATTTGGCACATGTGTTAGCTACTTAAAACTGCTGATAGTTGTTGATAATTTAACTGCTCTTCTTGTTGCTGAAATGTTGTTGATGTTCCTGGAGCGCTCCAGTAACTCCCTCACCAATATGATCACATTTAACACTCTAAATTGGTCAGATTCTTCCTCTACCCTTCATTCCTCTCCTTCTCAACTGCCTTCCATCCTGTGCCCTGCACTGACTTGCTGCACACATACCACCCTTTCCCTGCCTAATATCACTCTCATAAATATGCATTAAAAGACAAAATTACAATAGTTTATGTATTCATTAAACCACTGGACAGATTTAAAACATAACTTTGACTATTAAGAATTAGAGCTGCATTTCAGAGATTATACATAATTATACATATCTCTGATGCATATTATAACTAGTCATAACTAAATTAAAGATATCTTGAATTGGTATTTCTAATAGTCACAAATCAATCATGAAATTATAGACCTGGATTTTTTACCAGGCAAAATTAAAGTGTAGACATCTGTAATTAGAATTTCTACCAGTACAAATGTAATTGCAGATATCTATAATTGTATTTTTTACTAGTAAAAATGTAATTTTAAGTAAGACAGATTGGAATTCCATGTAAATCAATGGTAACAAATGACTAGTCAAAATTATATAATGGATATGTCATCCTGGCAATATGACTAGAGAAAATAGCCTTATAGATATGTATACTTGATATTATGAGTAAGTAAAAATGCATATCAGACATGGAATCATAGTTTTTGTACCAGTAGAAACTGAGCTGCAGAGCTCTCGAATTTGAGTTTTTAGTAATAAAAGCAAAGTTACGACTTGTATCGGTAGTATCATTTTAGGCTGAAATGGCTTACCATAGACCCCACCCCTGAAGTCTGGGGTGAGGGTGTGTGAAAAACTACATTTCTCTGTAGCGTCATAACCCACCATGAGTTTAGCTGCAGAACAGAAAAACGGAGAGCGAACACGGTCCTCTAGCTACGCCTAGATTAAGCCTTGTCGTTGCGTTTTGTTGTGAGTTTAAGGACTAATGCCTTTGATGGTTTAGATTGGCGTATCTAGGTCTATTGCCAGCAATAACATAGTTGACTGACTGAAATATTCATGAGTAGCAAATAGAGTGCTGCGACCTCTCGTTTTATTTGAATCACGTTATTTCTTTATAAATTTGTGACAATATGAGAATCAGAATTGGCTGTCATTTGGCACTTGTGATAATACTCTGCAATTCTAGAGCTATGCATTCAGACACAAGGAACCAACAATATGAGCCTTTTTGTCTTAACACGAAATCAGCACTCGGTCGCACTCAGTGTAGTTTTCTTCGAAAGTCTGCGGCGACAGAGCCTCTTCTCTTTTACTGGACCGTTTGGACAGCAGACCACCACGTCGAAGAGTGCTCGATAAGCGCCGAAAGATCTTTGATACAAAATTATTTGACATTATGTCGTGAAGCGCGCATATGGGATTCAGATGGCACGCAATCTTTGCGTCTGAATATAAGTTTGCTTTTAGATCCTCGTAGTCCATGTCAATTTCGTCTAAGTGCAGTTGGCAACTTGATGCGACAGAGGAGCCTGGGCCATCACGTAGGAGCAAAAATTCGCCAGAAACGCGCTTGGATTTTACCTGGGACACTCTGGTGCGGCCGCGGAAGCACCGCTGGAGATTACGAGCAGTTAGGTTAGTAGATTTAGAACTAACAGCCATTTCCAGTTCTTCAGTCTGCGTCTGACTTTTCATGAATGTAAACTTTGTAGCAGCTCTTAGTTAATTTAGCATATGCAACATTGAACTTAAAGCAAAATCAATGGTAAGTAAGAAAAACTAAGGAACACTTTTAGAAGTTTATAATAGAGTCATGAAGTATTAGGACACTATTTTACATCTACATTACTTCTGTCAAATTACCTTTTGTCACCTTTAGGAATGTTTGAGCGTGTAGACAGATGTTGCCGAGAGCACGATCACTGTAGCTACATAATTCGGCCCTTCACTGTGAACTTTGGCGTCTTAAACCCTTCTCTTTTCACCATTTCACACTGCGACTGTGACAACAGGTGAGTGCTGCTGGGGCATGATTGCATTCCTCTCATATAATATATCTTCATAGCCTACAGGAAGACTCCTGAGAGTCGTAATTTATCCTCTTACCACCTGCATATTTCTGTCGCTGACATAGACTAAGATAGAAATTACCTGAAGGATTTCATTTTCTATACATATTCAACAGTAAATGGGAAAGTACCAAAAAATTATGAGAGCAAAAACTCATTTCACAATAATTTATAGACAGTACATTTGCTTATTAGGCACTTGCACAGTAATGTAAAGTAATGCTGGATTCTAAAGTTATTTATAGTATCTTGTTGTAATATCTGCAAGACAGTTTTTTCTCTAAATGTTCTCTAAACATCATGCAAATCTCTCTGTCTCTCTGTCTGTATGTGTTTTTATTTCCCTGCCTTTCTCTCTTCATCTTCTCCTTTCTGAATTTTATGCTCTTAGGTTTAAGCAGTGTCTTCTCAATGTCAATGATACAGTCTCAAATATGGTGGGCTATACTTTCTTTAATATCCTCAAGCTCCGCTGCTTTAATCTTATCCAGAAGAGTCACTGCACTCAGCTCAACTGGTTTGGAATGTGAGTGTTGAAAACAGAGTATGTTAGATGGCAATATGATTCATTTACATTTATTATTATATTGTTTTGTCTGTTATACTTAAAACTGGGATCAGACCATCAGCTTTGTGATGCTTTAAGCTTTAAACACCAGGAGAAGGTTTTAAAAACAGCAACAAGACCTACAGTTTGAAATGTCCATTAAAGTGAATTATTTATTGCATGTCTTAAGATTGAGTTCATGCAAACAATCTTATAATCTCAGTCATGTGGAAAAGCAAATTACACACTGGTTAAGTAGCGCTTTTAGACCAATTTAATAGGCCAAAAGCATTTTATTAGCAAAGACATGCTTGGTGGCCTAAATGCTTCTTTAGTTTTGCCCTGGAGCTAATATAGTACTATACTCGTACAAACAAAATTGAGCCTTCAAGATGGTTGCTACTACTTGGTTTTTGTTTGACAACTTCTATTCTTCTGTTATGATAGATAACAGTATGTAACACAATGTCAGAACTCTCATTAATAAAACTAAAACTAAAGTAAGAGATTACTTCATAACTTGACATAGTTTGATGATTTAGCATACACTTTTCATTATGGTAACTTGTGGCTATAAGCTTCTATTAGGAAAATTAGCCTTATAACTCTAGTGCCATACCCAGATTTAAGGGCAGCTTGTAATGTCTGTGGCCACTTCTGAAATTTCATTTCTCAAATCAGATAGGTAATTTTTCAGTTTGAATTTGCAGGACTTTGTTCAATTATGATTCCATTTTCAACAGTTATCACATTACACACCAGTGCACTGCTTGTGGGTAGATTAGCTTGTCTTTTCATTGTCATTTATCATTTATTTATGTATTTATGGGAAAAAAATTAAAATTAAGTGAAATGGTCAGTTAGCAGTAGTGTTAAAGTGCTCCTTAATGTCCAGCACAAAACTAAAGATGCAAACCTCTGACACCAAGCATGTCCTAGCTGACAATTTATCCTGTATTTGGGGTAAGGGGCAAGTGTAGAAATTTTTGGCCTTCCCATGACTTTAAGAAGTCTTTCTGCAGCCTGTGATGAACACTTTGGTTCATTTAAATGTATAGAAAATTGTGACATATAAAGTTGTTATTGTGTATTCACAGCTGCTACAATGAAGGCTATTGAAGCACTGGAGTTTAAGTATCTTTAGTTGAACTGCATGTGTTGACTTGTCTGACTCCTTTACCTGTTTTTGCCTGTCTCAGGCAACACAACTACATTGCTATTATGTTCCCATAGTAGTCCCTCCACGTGTCAGTGATAGTTTTTTTCTTTGTCTTTTCTTTGTCAGCCTTTGGATATATATATATTTATGGATATATATATATATATATATATATTTTTTTTTGCGTTTGGGCTTGTGTAGCTTCAGATCTTCGATCTTTCTTTACAGGTGCACATCGGTTCAGGTTGCGCCTTTTGCAATCCTCAAAAATCCCACACCATATAACCTTACAAATGCAAATCCAGGGACCAGTGGCATCTCTGATTCACCACGTGAATATCAAGTGCACACTTCAGCTAAAGGCAAGGAAAAAAACATGAAACCTAAACGAAGAAAGCAATCAAACATGAAAAGGAGAATTCATCCAGTAGTGCTTGCAAAAGGGGATACTCTTTTGTTGAGTGAAAAGATGCAGCAGCGTTATGCAAAAACCAAGAAACTGTCACCAAGGACTACCATTCTTCCTTTAGTTTGGAAAAGCGCAACACCACCCAGCTCAATCACAATCAAAAACTCATTTTTCCATTCAAAGAATCAAACCATAAATAAACTAAGGACATTATCAGTTCATAAATCTGAGCTTATGCAAATTACTCCATCCCCAGGACCCACAAGAATCATTCATACTCATACTACATTGTCTCAGGCAAAAGGATTTAGTGCTGAAATACTAATGATTACTTCGCTGACCAAAAGTTCCACAAATAGAAGAAAGGCAACCACATCTCAAAATGCCACAATACAGATTAAGTTGGTCCAGACCTCTCGTAAACCTCCAAAGTCAAAGCATAATTGTGATTACATGAAACCTCCAAGGGACTTTAACTTCCAGTCACCACAAGAGAAGGGAAAGGAATACAAAGTGGACATATTTCCAAGGACTGGCAGATTATTTGTGAATAAGACACAACCCAGAAAGAAGGCCATATTTTCAAATAGAACAAGTGCACCCCAAAAAAATACAGTGTCAACCAAATTCCAAAGCCAAACAAATTCAGGTCCAACTTCAACCATGACAACTACACATCCAAAGCACAAAATCAAAGGCAGCCATTTAGAAAACAAGTCAGCTAACATCACCAAAAGACCTAAGATCAGGAACCCAACTCCAGCTAAATATATGCCAACTACAAAACCTAGAAGCATACTCTGGAAAGACATTATTTCATCCCGTAAGACAACATTATTTGTCGGTGTGCCTCTATTAAAGTCATGGAAAAGTGCTTCATCGACAAACCAGGAAACTATATCTTCAGCCATGAAAAATATTTATGTAACGAAAAAGTGTAAATCTCCCAAAAATTCTTCCATAGTAAATAATGCTTCTAAAGGAACTATGACCACAACACCAAGAAGAACTCCAAAGCAAAAATCTACATCTATTCCACTAAAAAAGACAGTATCTTCAACTGAGACAACTGAAACACTCAGTTATTCTTGGAAGGAAACCAACTCTACTTCTAAAGAACCAACAGGTAAAGTCTTTGCTCCATGTTCTGTTGTGTGTATATTTGAAATTTAGGGGTTAGGGTTTGGGACAGCCACCTCCCAACAGAAAGTATCCTATAAATGATGATTTGATGATTGTATCTACATATATATATGTAGATACAATCATCAAATCATCATTTATAGGATACTTTCTGTTGGGAGGTGGCTGTCCCAAACCCTAACCCCTAAATTTCAAATTGTGAAAACAGTACCTTTTTTGTTACTTTAAAATATTGTTTCAGTGTTGTTTTTTCACAAAGTCTTTTCTTATTTATTTTAAAGTTGAAAATTTTAGATTTATCATCAGTTTAATTTTTAAATAAACAACTTTATTCAAACAATTCTGTCTCACATTTTTATGTCACTACCAAAACACAAAGAGTTTTAGTCCATAGGCTGAGCCTTAAGTTAGCTGCATCCCTGCATTTCAGACCAGGAAGTGAGACTGTAGGGTCATGTGGTGAGTAGTTAGATCCCATTGTTTTTAAGTAAATGTGCCCCAACATCTAAAAATCAGTGTGTAACATTAAGAATTGTCAATAACATAACACATATTTTCTTCAAATAAGTAAACTAAATAGGGTCACTCAAAGCAAAAGGATCTTTGTCTAAAGTCAAAGTCAATTAAAAGTCCGAAATATGTTTTCAACTCTGACTTTGAACCAATTCAGTAGAATTAACCTCATACAGCATTACAACACCCTGATTACTGTATTAACTCCTAAAGTCCTAAGGGCTCATGTGGTCACCACACTTCAGGTTCTTACTGTAATACAGTCGTATGCAAAATTACATGTTCTGTTGATTTTCTAAGTGAAAATACACATCCTCTAACACACTTCTGCACATTGAATAAAATTACTGTTTCTTTGCTGAATGTTAGATTTTGTATTTCAGCTAAATTTTTCCCAAAATTGTTAAACTCAGCAAATAAATAGAAATTGTGCTCTACATTTGGCAGAAAAATTACATATTGAAGTGTGTTCCCTGTGCAGGATGTGTCAACAAAACAATGTTTAATTAGAAAATCAACAAAACATGTAATTTGACTGCATACAACTGTAACTACATAATTTAAATATTAGTTTCATAGCAGTTACCTAATGTATAATAGTACTTATTGAATAGTTATTGAGTTAACAAGAAAAATTCACTATACAGGTAAGTTAGTCATTTAAAGTGCTATGTAGTTTTTAAAGATTAAAAGTTAGTGAAGATGGGTTAGCATGATCTTATTTGCATAATGTCAAATAGCCTTTATTTGTACTAACTCTTTCATTCACCATTAAAACAGAGGCACTGAATATAATATCAATTTAAAGCCAAATCAACCAGAAAAATGAAATGTAAGAATTGAGATGAATGAGAAGTAAGAATTTTTGTTTATGAAAAGCAAAATTTGCTTTGCTTAAATATCTTAGCTCATTACAACTGCAACAGCTGTGACCTGAAACTACATTCCCCCGGACCTGTATATCTTACAATTCCTAAAATGATGCTAAAGAGAACTGGAGGATGTATTTTTTCTAACTCTGTATTTTTCTAATTAAATGTATACTCCATTAATTGTAAATGTTGAACCAAATGGGGATAAGCCATCATTTACATTTAAGGTAAAACTTTTCACTGGTAGCTGGAGCCCTTAAAGTCTCTATAGAGACATCAAAAAACAGACCACACTGGATATTAAGCTTGCCGTTGCAGATGTGGAGCATTTTAACATTGCACTGCATGTCATATCTACATTTTCAACATCTGATTTGGCTATTTTTATATAAAAGGTGGGTTTATTTTGTTTTCTAGGATCCCCACTTATATGTGATGCATTTAGATACTTGGATGATTGCAAGTACAAGATTGGACCAATGGAAAATATATATGGTCATCACAACATGGAGTCCACTACAGTCTACCATTGTGACTGCATATATAGGTCAGTAAATAGTTTCATTTAAAAAGGTTATTGATTAATTTCTTTTAATTGTCTTATCTCACTCTTTTTCTTTCAGGTTTACCAACAATTTAAAACAACTTAAGAAATCCAGTATCCTGCAGTTTCTTCTTGGCAAATTTGTGTCTTTCTCCTGCATCGAAATATCAAATATTAAAGAATGCAACAAAACCACAGGGTTTGTACATTAACAATAATGCACAAACAAATGCACAAATAGTCTGCTGTTGTTCAGTCAGCTACATAAGTTTATTTTAAACTTTTCCCATTTGTTTGTTTTTTTTTCTATGTGCATAGCTGTTTTGCCATCCTTTCCAAGACCACAGAGCTAGATTCATCACTGAAGAAAATGGAAGAAGATCAAGCCATTACAAAACATATTAAACGGCTTACAAACAAAAGAGCTTTTCACAAACTTTACAAATATTGTATCAGCATTTTAAATCCCAGAAATCCTAAACATGTAAAGAAAAGTCCTTCTTCACACCTATAATACTGATGGGAAAATAACAAAATTAAAGAAATTGATCTGTTTGTTCTGAAATTAAATGTCTGTGTGCATCAACACACCCAAAGGCTAATGTTGAGTTAGATTTGTTCATAATTGCCTGAGCTACAAGGCAAGGAGATATATTCCCAACAAAGCTAAAGAGAGCAAATAATAAAGTGAGATCATTTTATCCAATTCATGCAACAAAATGTGAATATGTACACTGCGATTCAAAAGTTTTGTTTTTAATTGTTTTCAATTATACAAAATCAATTTTATTGCAGGCAAGTATATGAAATTATTCCAAAGTAGTAGTCCTGTTCTGCTTCACAAGTTTCAAATAATTAGTCAGACACTAGGACGCTGTAAATAAAAATGAAAAAAATTTTGATGTGTAGAGAATGACAAACCAAGCTGTAGATGATTATAAAATGGCCGAGCTATGTGGTTTTAAGTTTTTTAAGTTTTAATAAATAACTGAAAGTTAAGCCTGTGACACAAGTTGAAACTCAGTACTTTTGCAGTACAGTACTTCAAGTACTGTAGCTAAATATTTCAAGGTAGGGGTCGTACCTAGTGTTCAGTGATGTGTTTCTTCATATTGCAAATGATGGCCAACTAAGATGAATTCCTTCTTGCCTAATGTTTTTATTGCTTCATATTTGTGTGAAAGTTCCATATGAAAGTACATGTTCCATGACTTATAATTGATCTAACTGGTCTGGCTGAATATACAGGGTCTTACAACTATCTGAACTTTATGTTAATAGTCATGTTTGAGTCCAAAACAATAAAAATGCAGTCATCTTATTTCACCATAGTAGTTCCATATTTAACACACTATTATTTAAAGATATCCGCAGTAGCACAATTTATTGCTGTCTTCTTTTTTGGTATTTTTTTTAAATATTTTTTTCTTTTTGTCTTTTAAATAATTGATTCTGCTGAGTTTGTACCGCGATGGACTGGTGTCCTGCCTTCCGCCCAGTGACCGCTGGGATAGGCTCCAGCACCCCCGCGATAAGCGGTTTAGAAAATGTGTGTGTGTGTGTGTGTGTGTGTGTGTGATTCTGCAGATTTACCACGGATTTTCTAGAACATCCCTAATATTCAGTACTGGGCATCACAGTAATCATCCACGTGATGGCGCTACTGTTCCATACTAAAAACAATCAAACAGTCATTTCCATAAATTAGTTTTGAATGCAGGAACCTGTACTATTCAAAAGTAACCAGTGATATAAAATGGTTAGCAAGACAGTGAACATTACACATTACTGAAATAACCATAAAGGGCCAGAATCAAGAGCAGTACAAACCATATCTGTTAAAGGATATTTGATCACGTAATAACATTTTGTCTGAACGATTTATCATTGGAACGGGTTGTTGTGTATGTACAAAACCGCGGTGTACACTGGGAAAACTTGGCTCAGGAAAAATATGGCGTCTTGCTGACAGCTGTGCAGGTTTCGTTATCTAGTTGTCTACCAGTAATATCAGCAGTGTAATTCAAGGCGCACCGCCTTTGCACGTATAGTCTATTTTTATGGTCTGCATTTAGATCTTGATTAAAAGGGATTTAACTGACATAACTGTGGAAGAGCAGTATATTAGATTTCTGTGTCACGCCCACCTTTCCGAAAATACAAGAGCATAGCTTGAGCGGAGAAGCTAGCCGGCCTGCAGTGCCAAGGGAAAGCTAGCCAGCTAAAAGTAGCGAGCGTTCATTCTAGCTTGTCTAGCTAAGTAGCTAGGTAGGTAGCTCGCTTAGCTGTCTCGCTAAACGGGCGTTGCTTAGCTTAGCTGACACCAATGTACTTTTGTCGTGTTTTGCTGACTGAGGAAATTATGTAGGCTACAGGGCACAACTTAAACGTTATATGCTCTCGTTTAATGTCTGTAAATTTTGAGACTGTCTTCAGGGGAGAAAGAGATGGGATCAGGGGCCGTGGATTCGTCCCAATGGTTGTCTGTAAAGGAGGAGACTATTTTTCTTCACGATGGGCTGATTCGGGTCACGGACCTCGCCGAATTACCCAGCGAAATTGGAGTCTCAGAGCAGGGTGACGCTGAGCAGGAGGTAACCCATAGCCTATACTTAAATGGACAAATTCAAACTATAACTGACACGACCTGCTTGTTGTTAGCATACGGGTATAGGTTAAGTGGTGAGTTAGGCCAGTTGTTCGGGTACGGATCATCGACATTCGTTTTGAAACAACGGAAGTTAGAGTTATCTAGCTATTTACCTTAAGTATATGGTTCGCCTGACATCGAGGAGCTGTATGGTTGCATTCTAGCTAAGAACATTAGTAGGTCACTGTCTGATACGTTTAAGTCAGCCTGTCTTATAGTTCATCTGTAGGCGCCTCCCTTACATCGAACTGCCCAGCCCTTACAACTAGCTTACGCTAGGTTGCTAAGTTAGTTAGCCAGCGTAAGCAGAGGTTAGAAAGGTAGCTTAGCAATGTAACCACGTTATGTATTTAGCTAAATAAGTTAAGTAAATGAAGTTCTAGTAAGTACATGTATGCATGCTTAGTCAAGGTTCAATTATTAGAATAGATGGTAACATGACATCCACTTAATCTAATGTATCTGGGTAATTTGGTATAGGAGTTGGCATCTTGACAATTAACATGACGTTGACCTTTTCTGTCATGCAGGGAGTAATTCATACAGTAGCATGGTGCACTTACCTGGGTTCTAAAAATACATGAAAAACTATTGGGTCAACTAATTACAGTGTCTTGCAGATGATGCTGTCGAGGTCGAGTAGAAAGGCGGTGACATGGGCAGGCAGGTTATTAGTGTTTATTAAATTGTCACGAGAGTTCTGCTGAAGATAAGTTAGTTTATCAAGACTGGACAGAAACAGGCTGCAGCGTTGCCAAACATGCGTTTGCTGCTTTCACAACACCAGAGTCATTAGTGTATGGCAAAACCCTGTTAACACTGCATGTTCTTTCTTAAACTGTCAGAGTTTCAGTATGTTCTGTTTTCCATGTTCTGTTTTCCATTTGTGGACAGTAGCTATGGAGGATGCTTTTGTTTGATCAGAAATGTTTTGCAGTGTCTTTAAAATCAGTTCTTCATAGAAAGCTTTAAGGTATATTTTTACGTTAAATCTGTGTTTTACACCACTTTTCAACATTAAGCCCAGTGGATAAACTGGGTGGTCAAGTAGAGTGAGGTCTAATGCACTGTCCCACATGCATGCAAGAGCAAATATTTCATAGCCGTGCCTCATCTTGCTGTAGACCAAAATCCTATTTATTCCAGCTGTTGAAGTCATGTTAATATTGTGCAGTTGCTTAACTGTTTTGCCCATTGTTTTCCACTATATAACCTTACTGCAGTATGAGCACAACAAAGTCTGCAGTGATTTGCAACCTGACCCTCCTAAGGACTATGGTAACCCAATCAGAGCCTTTTCACAGTAGGCAGTGGGAAGGATGAAGTGGCAGTAAGAAGGACACTGGGAATAAAGGGAGACGTTATATCAGAGTAAAATTTAGAAAAGAAAGGGCAAAAGAAACACAAGTCTTAGGAAACCTGCTAAAAAAATTATGTGTACATTGAAACTGTGGAAATTTGTATGCAAACCCACTGTGAATGTGCTGTTATTCTTGCCCATATAAAATAACTCTTGGAGCTGACTCAAAACAACTAACATTGTTTCATTAGATGACATAAACAAAACATCAAGGCATCTGTTTTATAAAGAATTATTTTACAAATGTCAGTAACAAATGTTTGTAAAGATTAAGGTGTTGCTATCTGATACTGTCCCGGGATTGTGGTTAGGGCTGGAGCTGCTAATCTGAACAAATTGCTCTCTGTGAGGTTTTTAGCTTTTCCAGTAAAACCCCCACACCAGAACCCATAGTACTCTTTGTCTAAGTACAGAACTGAACCAGATGTTGGCACACTAACTTGGCAAAATTAGTAACTCATCAAAAAGCATTAGCAAAGAAATAGAAAGTTGGGGAAAGCATTAATATTACACAAACATTACACAAGACTGAAAGAATTTTCTATGATTTTGTGGAACTCACAGTCATATTTTCATTCTAAATTTCATGTCTGTGACACGCTCCAAAAAAAGTTGACACAGGAGCATGTTTACCGCTGTGTTACATCACAACGCTTAATAATAGTTTGAGGACTGAAGACATAAATTTATCCAGTCATATGTCGTATTTTGACCTCAAAAAGACACACATTTTCAATAGGTGGAAGTGCTGGATTGCAGGCAGGCCAGTTTAGCATAGACACTCTCTGATTATGCAGCCAATGTGGCTTGGTATAATGAAAATAAAGTTGCGTGTCCTTGAAATAGACGGCTCCTAAAAGGCAGCATGTGTTATTCCAAAATGTGTTCAGTGTTGATGGTGCTTGTGCAAGTTACCCACTAAACCTCCACCCTGACCCCCCAGTACCATGACAGTCTGGCTCCTGTTGGCTGCTGTTAATATGACTATGACTGTGCATAGTACAGTCTTAACTTGCATTTGTGGACGCAGCAAAGAACAGTTTTTCATAGTATTCCTGAGGTCATGCAGTGATATATTACAGAAATATGTCAGTTTTTAATGTTGTTCCGTTTGAGGAGTAGAACGTCACGGGCATTCAGTTGTGGTTTTCGGCCTTATCCTTTACACACAGATTTCTCCAGATTCCCTGAATCTTTGAATGAAGTTTGGCAATGTAGAGGGTGAAATGCCTAAAATCCTTGCACTTGCTCACTGTGGAACATTGTTTTTAAACTGTTGGATTTTTTGCTGATGCAGTTTTAGTAAAGTGGTGAGCCTCGACCCATCCCATCCTTGTTCATTAAGAGCAAGGCCTTTCCTGGATGCTCTTTTATATCCAAGCATGATTTTAGCTCCTGTTTCTATTCATAAATTGCCCCAACTCCCAACTTTTTTTGGAACGTGTTGCAGGCATCAGTTTCAGAATTAATGAATATTAATATGAAAACAGTGAATTTGATAACATACAATATTAAATAGCTTTTATTGGTACTGTTTTCATTCAAATACAGGTCAAAGTAGATTTGTAAATCACAGCCTTCCGTTCTGTTTTTTGTTGCATTTTACCTGCTTTTTTGGAATTGGGTTTGTATTTTCATTTTCAGTGGCTTCATTTTTAGTTTACTAAGATGCTTTGCATTGTTTTGGTAGCCTATTCACTTTTGACATGGAATTATATAGAAATAAAGTGATGTAGCCTGCATATTAACTTGGCTTGCTGTAGGTCATGTCTGACTCAGTTTTGAGGGTACAAAACACAATACCTCACTCGGACAATGGCTGTGGATGTTCCTGGATATGAAGCCCATCTGAGGTTCATCTTAGTATTCCTATTCTGGAAGACCCCTATTAAAGATCATTTAGATTGCACTAGAGCATTTGTGTGTAGGATCAATATAAAATGCCCCAACTAAAAGGCATAATGGATGATATGAGCCGTGTGGACTTTCTGTAATCGATAGCTGAGGAGTTACTTCCCCAGTACTGCCATCTGTTTGGCACATCATAATGTCAGACACAACAGGTTAGTTTGATGTACAGCAGAATGAAGGTTAGTGCTGACTTAGGGGTATGGGAACTGAACATCTAGCCTATGCAGAATGGAATATCTAGAAAGTGGCAATATTCTTTTACATTGCCTTTATAACTGAACATGGACCATGCTGCATTGTGTGTGTTTTTACAGTAGCTTTGGGTCACAATGCTTCATTATGGGCAGTTGTGTTAAATCAATATAACTATGTTTTTTTTTTGCTCTCTAACACCTTGTGTAGATCCTTACCTTTGAGACCAAGAACCCAGTGGAGCTAGCTGAGCGCCTGCGTGCTGTTTGTGGCAACCAGAGCAACGCGTATGCCCGGCTCCTGGAGTATCGACTTAATGCTCTGCGTGGCCTTTGGGGGGCACAGCGACAGCTGGCTTTGGAAGAGCAGCAAGAGCGAGAGGGTGCAGCAGCAGCTGCTGGCACCGGAGCAGGGACTGATGAAGAGGCCTTGGCCCTCCTGAAGCGGCAGGGCCTCTTGCAGCAGCAGCAGCACTTACTTGCCCACCACCACCCACCGCTGCCTCCAGGGTCAGATCAGGCTCCCTTCACATCGCGTGTGGGACTATTGCTTGTCTTTCCTCTGCTGCAGTCGCAGACCCGCCATGACCCAGCACTTGGCGGTGTCACTGCTGAAGTACTGTTAGCATGTCTGCGTGACTGTCAACCACTCAGCCTGGGAAAGGAGCCTGCTGATTGCCTCAATGGCTTAGAGGGGCTACTTTGCACTTGGTTGGAGCAGGGGGGTGAACAGGGAGGAGTAGTTCTGTCACAGGAAAGGCCATTGTTGACCCAGCGGCAAAGGGAGAATGCAGCTGCTGCACTTGTGGCATTGGCGTGTGCCAGGTATGCGCAATAAAAATGTATAAAAATGTTATATTAGCTATTATTAAAGATGTACGTAAGCCAAAAATACTAACTTCACTGTAAGAGATGAAATCTAGCATGACCATGCTAACTGCGAGGTTTTGTGCCATACTAGTTAGCTGTGCTAGCATTATTGTTGGAATCCTTTAAAATTACTGTCAGTTATTGAGGTTGGGAGTTCATTTGTAATAATTCAGCACTACTGTCACAAAATTCATTTTTAAACAGTCTCTCAAAATTTTTGCTTAATATGAGTCCTGATATATCACTTGCAGTTACAACATGTTATTTAATTAATCCTTTGTAGTCTTTTTTTATGGTAGTGGAGCCAGAGCACAGATAACCTTTAGGCGCTATACCGTCAAATTTTTTGTGTTCTCACTTTGTCCAGTGAAGCATCCAGCTTGTGCTCTTTTAGATGCCCTAGTGAATAAAGTGCATAAGCCTGCGTTTAGCTTTCTGAAACAATCTAGACACCTCCGGTCAGTATGGTCTGTGTGTGATTGTGTAGTGTTTCTTTAATGTTTTCACGTAGTTTGCTGTAATACATTCAAAAAGTGAATTTTGTCATATGTCCTCTTGGGAATTTACTAAATTGCATGTAGTCTTGTGTTCCGTCACAGATAATGCTTTCTTTGGACATTTTGATTCAGTAAGTTTCAGAAACTATATTAAACTTTTGGTGAGACTATTGCGATGGGATACAGTACAGGTAAAAGACCCTACTTAACTGGTAACTACAGACTCTAGGCTGTGGCAGTTGTGTGAAAGAGACACATGTACACAACCTGAAATTTACTTGTACAGTGACATACACATAGACATGCATTTAATATGCAAATATCCAGAATGTTCAGCCATTCTAATGTCAGTTCTAACTTGTCGTATGACAGCTCTCATTACATTCCATTGAATATGAAAAAAATACCTTTTTAAAATTACCTTATAAAATTGAATTTTTGTTTCTTTCTAAGATTTTTTTTTTTTAAAGTTTGACTACTTCAGGACCTTTTTTCATACCTGTGTGTCTAGGGGATCTTTGAAGACATTCATCCACACAGTTCACCTACTGCAGAAACAAACAGACCTTGGGCAGCTTCCTGTGGCAGATGTCCTGTATAGGTCAGGCAGAGTTGTCAATTTTGCAATGTTCTCAGTAGTAAAATAGTAATTGTATTGTTCTAAACAATCTTAGCAGAGCAAATATTTATTATTTCTTAATGAGTCTTAATACTTACCTAAGTACTAATGAAATGATCAGGAATATAACTGATGTAGACCTGTGGCACGTGCAGGTCATGTGTTTATAGCATTGTGCTTTTCTTTTTTATGTTCTTAATTTCTTTCTCCCAGACTTCTTCTTCTTGAAGGGGGTCCAGGCTCTCCATCGTGTTTATTAGGAGGTAAGCATATCGTCTCCTGGGGCTTTGAAGACATGCTCCCCGCCCCAGACAGCAGTGCTGCAGGAACAGAGGCTAAAGGTATGAACATGCTAGGGAATGTTGCAGTCTTAAATGTGGTCTTGTTAAAAGATCACAGTTCATGTTATTTCTCTAAAATACTTAAAGGAAACTACTACTATTTTCAGTTCTTAAATAATGAACATTTTGAGAGTTCAGAGGAGGTTCACTGATTACACACCTGGAACAGTAAATTTTATATTTTGTGAAGTCCTACTAATGAAGTTTTGACTGATACATTTGAAGGAAAAAGCTCAAATTTGGGATCATTTTCTCTTATCTTGCGCTTTTCTCAGGGTCTCTGTGGTTTTGCTATGGAGCAACTTAAAGCTGTAGTTGAAAAATGTAATCAGTTTTTATCTGTATTCAGATCGTCGATCATCCAAGACGTTTGGTGTCCAAAGTCTGCCTATAGTAATGGAAAGTAATGAAATGCTGCACCATTTAGCATTTTGCAAGCTTTTTCCCAAAACTATCACTTGCCTCAAACCATGTTGAGGTAATTTCCTGCAGATCTGCTTATTTGGTTTCTGACACTGCTTTTGTCAAGTTTTTAATAAAATTTAAATAAATTCAGTATTTATTTATACCATGATATTGAACGCACATGATATTGTTATTATGGACACTTTGAAATGCTGCCACTGCATTTCAGTGAATTAGGTTTCAGTTTCAATAGAGATTTTTTTTTTTCCAATATGTAGAGGGAGCCAGGTTTCACAACAGGGGATACAGGAATATTATGTGTTTTTTTTATTTTATTTATTTTTTTGCATTTTGTTCTTTAATTAAACAGTTTTACAGCATTTAGCCTAGCCATTGTGGCTCATTCTTCAAAGCCTCTAACTTTTTTGTTGTAGGTACTGGTAAAGACCCTTTACTTTTTAGATATGGAGCCTAACTCTCTCTCTCTCTCTCTCTCTCTCTCTCTCTCTCTCTCTCTCTCTCTCTCTCTCTCTCTCTCTCTCTCTCTCTCAGACACGGACCTGGGCCGCTGCTTGGCTACAGATGGCCTATATCTTTACACGACTAACTCTTTTGGGAGAGGCTTGAGCAAGCTGGGCTCAGGCCTTCATGGCACACTGAGGTAATAGGAGAACCATGTGTTCATCACTAAATACATGCACAATTACAGTCACATCCTCCCAACCTCCCTCTATCTCTGTGACCTCCAGGAAGGGCACTGTTGCATCTTGGTATCTTGGTATAGATATCCACATCAACACTTGTCATTTTTTCTGTTAACCTATTTCTGTACATTTGTTTAGGTTTCACCCACATCCCTCTGGCCCACCTGTATGTTTTTGTATTCTTAGTCTCTCTCTTTTGGCTGACTTTGCACTCAATAACTGCACCTTACATACACTGTACTGTTGCTGTCTGAATACTACTGTTTACATCTTTTACTTGCACAGAACACTACTGTTTACATCTGTTACTTGCAACATACACTTTATGGACCGCTGCTCTACATACTTGCACATACGCACGTCACTTTAATTTTTCTTTCAATTTTGCACATATAACTGTACTTTTTTGTTTTTTTGTTTTTAGTGTATTTATACTTATTCAGTGTATTTAATAAATTCTTATACTTTATACATATATATATATATATATATATATATATATATATATATATATATATATATATATATAGGTGAATGGATGTCTATATATATATATATATATATATATATATATATATATATATATATATATATATATGTTGGTGAATGGAGGAACAGTAAAGTAAGAATTTCATTGTACAGTGTAACTGCCTGTTTCTGCTGTGCGTATGGCAATAAAACTCTCTCTCTCTCTCTCTCTCTCTCTCTCTCTCTCTCTCTCAAATACCCATGTGCTATATACATATATATATATATACTGTCTTGTAGGGGTTTTGTGTACTGTCGAAATGAAGACCTAGAAGCTGGTTGGGTAGTGCACAGCAGTGGTCGACTACTCCACCGCCCAGCCTCCTTTGATTCTAAACCTCATCAGCTTTGCCAGGTCATAGACCCATTCACACTACAGGTAAGCTATTAACACACACACACACACACATACACATACACACACACACACACACACACACACATTTTTCACTTAACCCAAACGCAGTCGATTAGTTAAGACATGTTTGGTGTCCAGATTTCATCTTTGTGTAGTTTAGAACGGGAGCTGCTAGCCTAACAGTATTATCAAACACTGGAAGTCAGTCATTACCCAAAGTGATTCCAAAAATACATGCCAAAATCTTCATATATTTTTTTGCATTGTAAACTCATTTAAAATAAACAGTTTACTAACATGGCATGAATATACCTTTTTGACACTTTTAAGCTAAAATTGGAACTACATTATCCTCATATTGTCCCACTCCCTAGTACTGTTCTGCATTCAAATTCTCGGAGGTTGGAGCATTGGAGGTTTGTGTTGTAAAATGTCACTACGCAGGTACATAGTAGTACCACAGTAATACCTAGTGCTTAATTATAATAAAAGTTAGAAGTTATATATCAAATAATGATAAACCTTAGGTGTTTTGTTTTAGGTGTTATTAGGTGTTTTATTTTGCAGATTTCTTTTTGCAACAACAAAGAAATCTGTGTGTACTCTGGTATGTAACCAACAATTTCCTGCTGATGCAGGGACATGCAAACTCTGGCTTTTAGCAATTAACCAGAGACTAGCAAGAGTAAAGTTACAGTGCAAAATCTGTGGGTACGTTGATGAAAGCTAGACTGACCATTTTTCCCCTGGTAGTTACAAGGAAGATCTCCAGCGGGATGTTCAAAAATCTAACGCTGTACTTTAATTTGTGGTAAGCGTTGTTAACTTTTTCTTTCTCTTTGTTACTTTGATGCTATACATAGCCAAGAGGTGGGTATAGGGTGTCAGCAGTGGGTCCGGCATGCAACTGATGCAGTTCTTCATGGGTACATTCAGGTTCATACATATGTGCCATTGATTGAGTACACTCACTTAGCTTCTCTACCTGTGTTGCCCTACAGTGCGTCTGTGTTGTAAATTCCCTTAGGGCTATGGCTACCCTTTCTTTTAGCTAAACAGAGATGTTTTTTCATTTTTAATCGTTCACAGTGAGTTGTACTATGTTCTAAACTACTTCAACTTTTGCGCAACCTAAATTAAGGCCTGTAATGAAGTTTGAGCGGGCTAGGAAAAGTTTCAGCATATATTTATGTAATACTATTGATTTCCAGTGTTCGTTAGTAATATTAACAATACTGCAGCGCCTAGAAGCTCCAGTTCTTAACTAAAGAAACAGATTCTGGACACCAAACATGACTTGGCTTATCGACTGCATTTGGGTTAAATGGAAAAATTGTGTTAATTAAATTTTCCCCAAACTTTTCCTTTGAGCCTTCACTTTGTTTCAGCTGTGTCCAGTTCTCTTCACTTAGTCCATGTCTGTATGAAGGTGTGCCAGATTATGCCCATGCCTGCTCATCACTTCCTCATGGGCAGCAGTTTGACCACACTGCACTTGTGTTCTGATGGTACCTACCTCTACTGGGTGTGGTCGCCTGTCAGCCTCAATGAAAAGACCCAGAAAGGCCACTCCGTCTTCATGGATGTCTTCCAGTTAGCGGTACGAACTGGAATGTCCTCTTATTTGATCTGTTAATAATAGCTTTTTTCAGCATAACAGGCCTGAAAAATTTCGTAGTTGATATATATTTAGATGTTATCTCTTATTAGGTGGATATACATTTTTGAATGGAATTTTATTTCTGTAATTTTTTTATAACTGAGTAAGTAAGTAAGCCGCGTTCAAATGCGTAGGCTTAAAACATACACATACTTCAACTTAAAGGAATAAAAGCTAATTATCACTGCAAATTAAAACACAGCTAACAACATGGCATATACAGAAGAAGACAGCACTGTAAATAAGGAATAAGATTAAGGAAAACCAGAAGAAGAAATGCCTCAAATTAAATAGAAAATTCCACACTAGCTTTTTGCGGGATAATTAATTATTTTATTTTTTTTGCCCACCATTTTTTTCTTGCACCTCCAGACAGAGTCTGGGTTATGCGCGGTTACTCCTCTGCGGGAACGGGTGATTTTGTTGCGGAAAGAAGGAGAGCCGTCCAAGTGTCTAAATGAGTTGCTGATGAGCCGCATGTCCCGCTTTCGCGCTTCACACTCTGCCACACTTGCCGCCCTTACTGGCTCTGCCATCACCAACCCTGTTAAAGAAGAGCAGTCTGGTAGGTTAAGACACACACTAATACACACATTCAAAAGTATCCAGATACCCGTTATAATTATGAATTCAGCTACTTTAATACACCCATCACTGGGACAGGTGCACAGTTACGCACACACAGTTGTGCAGTCACCATAGAAAGGCACTGCTGATAGAACGGGACACTCTGGCGTAGTCGCACATGAGCCTGAGGTCACCATGCCAAGCATCGGCTAGAGGAGTATAAAACTTTACAGCACTGGGCTGAGGAGTAGTGGAACTGCTTTTTCTAAAGTAAAAGAGCACCATCAAATTGAGTGGCATTGTGCATGCAGTTCTTTGGCTTGTGTTCAGGTATTCAGCTGCCATTGTTGCCATGGAAACCCAATCCATGAAGCTCATAATGAGCAGATGACCTTGTGTTGACATTGTTTCCATAAGCAGTTTGAAACTCGGTAGTGAGTGTGGTAAACGAGGACGGATGGTTTTAAAGTGCTACGCACATTAGCTTCCATCCTCTGAGCTTGCGTGCCCACTTCATGCTAACAGCACTTACAGTTGACCAGGGCAGCTCTAGCAGAGCAGGAATTGGCTTGAACTGGCTTGCTGGTAAGGAGACATACTGTGAAAGTGCCATGGTGTGGCCCATTCTACTGCAACTGTTTGAATAGGGAGATTGCATGACTGTATGCTTGATTTGATACATCTGTTAGCAATGATTGTAGCAAGAAACCATTAATTAGAAGAGTTCCCTCATTCTTTTGGTGTTATAGTGTACTTGTGTATTTAAGGAGCCTTTAATAATAATTATGGAAAAACATGTCATGAGGATATGTAAGCATAGCACTGTCAAAATCTTAAAATAATAAATTGTGATTTAATTGTAATATGTTGAGGAGTTAACTGTGTATTGTCACATGTATTGCGTTTATTACTTTCAATAACTCAAACATTTATTTATTTTCAAACATTTCTTTTTTCACGTGAATGAAGGGTTTGCAAAAACCTGAACATGCAAATCATGTGATTTCTGTAGAGTGAACTTGGTTTTCAATTTTTATCACTGATGTGAAAGCAGCGGTGGTTGCATGTTCCAACCAATGACCTTATCACAGGCCCCTTTTAAGTACATCTACCTTAAATCTACATTCATTGTCCATTTTATCAGGTCCACTCACCATGTAAGTGCATTTTGTAGTTTTACATAAACAGATTGTACTCTCATCTGCGTAATTTGTTAACCTATCTTGACTCCATTGATCAATTGTCCAGACCCCTGCAGGAACACCACTGCAAAGGTAAGTTTTGGGTGATGGGTAATTCTCAACGTTACAGTGAAACTGAAATGGTAATGGCATGTGTGTGTGTGCTGCACATTGTGGATGAGACAGAGCAGCAATGCTGGAGTTTTTAAACAGTTGAATTTTTAAACAATGCTGGAGTAATTTTGATGGTGAACTATTCTCAGCCCAGCAGTGACAACCAAAAATATCCAGCCAGCAGCATCCTGTGACCTAAAACTGACCACTGATGCATGGATGAATAACACAAACTGTGCAGTAACAGATGAGCTATTCTCTCTAACTTTGCATTTATATGGTGGTAATAGAATAGAAAATAAATGTACATAGTGTTTAAAAAAAAATCTTCTGCAACACTGCTGTGTCTGATCCACTTGTATCAACACAGCACCTGCAAACACCCTACAGTGCTCATCCAGATCGTACCTGCTCGTTCTGGACTAACTGAAGCTTGTTAAGGTTTTTGCTGGAACATCCAAACAGCAGGGCATTGCAGTAATCTAGCCTTGAGGTAATAAATGCAGGAACTAGCTTTTCCTGTAGAGATAATGCATTTCTTAATTTAGCAATATTGTGGAGATGCAGTAAGGCTATTTTAGTAATATTCGTTATATGTGCGTCAAAGGACAGATCAGGATCTATCGTGACACCAAGATTTTTACAGATGAACCTGACGCAACTGAGAAACTATCAAGTTTAGGTGTTACATTAGACAGTTTGTTTCTAGCAGCTTTTGGACCACATTAACAAACTGATAGCAGTAAGTGAGGTAAGATCTGAACCAGAAAAGAGCAATTCCTGTTACCCCTACAAGGTTTTCTAGTCTATCTAGTAATATAGAGTGGTCTGTTGTGTCAAATGCCGCACTAAGATCAAGGAGGACTAGCAAAGACACATTTCCTTGATCAGAGAATAATAAAAGATTGTTTACAGTTTTCACTAGTGCTGTCTCTCTATTACGATGTGGCCTAAAACCAGACTGAAATTTTTCATGTATATGATTCCTATGCAAATAGGAACTTAATTGTTTTGCCACAACTTTTTCCAAGATCTTTGATATAAAGTGGAGACTCAAGATAGGTCTATAATTTGATAGTTCACAGGGATCAGGGTTAGCTTTCTTAATCAAAGGTCTAATTACTGCTAGTTTGAGTTTTTGGGTGTATAGCCAAGGCTAAGAGAGGAGTTTATTATTGACAGAATACACTTGGTCATTTTTGGTAAAATTTCTTTGAGTAAACCTGTAGGAATCGGATCTAACATACAAATAGAACATTTGGCAGAGGAAACAGTTTTAACTAGTTCATTTTGTTGAAGCAAGGTAAACGATTCTAGCCTCTCTGCAGTAGTTACAATATACTCAAGATCTAGACTGGCATTATAAGGCAGCAAGTTTCTGCCTAATTTTTTCAATTTTATCACTAAAGAAATTCATAAAATCATTGCTGCTATAGGCTAATGGCATCTGGGGTTCAGTAACTGTTTGGTTCTTAGTTATTTTAGAAGTTGTGTTAAATAATAATCTAAGATTATTCCTATTGTTTTCAAAGAGAGAGGAGAGGTAGGTTGAGCGTGCCGCAGTAAGTGCCTTTCTGTAGTCTATTAGGCTCTCCCTCCAGGTGGACTGGAACACTTCTGGTTTAGTCAGGTGCCGTTTTCGCTCTATTTGTCTGACAGTCTGTTTTAAAGCTCGAGTATGATCATTATACCATAGGGCAAACTTTTTCTGCCTTATTATTTTACTTTCTAATGGAGCCACATTATCTAGAATAGATCGAAAAGTATCCTCTAAGCACTTGGTCATGATATCTCATTTAGTAGGATTAGATGGACAGCTGATAGAAGCTGATTATTGTGGAAGGTTTCTGATAAAGCTACCAGCTGTTTAGGAAGTTATAGTCCGCTTAACACGATAGCATGGTGATGAACGTACATTACCACTAAGGCGAATTTCATATGAGAAATTGTACTCTGTACTCTGGGGGAGTAGTATTATCTACACTGTATTGCCAAAAGTATTCACTCACCCATCCAAATCATTGATCCATGGCCACAGATGTGTAAAACCAAGCACTTAGGCATGCAGACTGCTTCTACAAACATTTGTTAAAGAATGGGACGCTGTCAGGAGCTCAGTGAGTTCCAGCATGGTACCGTGATAGGATGCCGCCTGTGCAACAAGTCCAGTCGTGAAATTTCCTCACTACTGAATATTCCACAGTCAACTGTCAGTGGTATTATAAAAAAGCAGAAGCGATTGGGAACGACAGCAACTCAGCCATGAAGTGGTAGGCCACGAAAAATGACAGAGCGGGGTCAGCGGATGCTGAGGCGCATAGTGCACCAACTTTCTGCAGAGTCGATCGCTACAGACCTCCAAACTTCATGTGACCTTCAGATTAAGTCAAGAACAGTGCGTAGAGAGCTTCATGGAATGGGTTTCCATGGCTGAGCAGCTGCATCCAAGCCTTACATCACCAAGCGTAATGCGAAGCGTCGAATGCAGTCGTGTAAAGCACGCTGCCACTGGACTCTAGAGCAGTGGAGATGTGTTCTCTGGAGTGACGAATCACACACTTCTCCATCTGGCAGTCCGATGGACAAGTCTGGGTTTGGCGGTTGCCAAGAGAACAGTCCTTGTCTTACTGCATTGTGCCAAGTGTAAAGTTTGGTGGAGGGGGATTATGGTGTGGGGCTGTTTTTCATGAGTTGGGCTCGGCCCCTTAGTTCCAGTGAAAGGAACTCTTAATGCTTCAGCATACCAAGAGATTTTGGACAATTTCATGCTCCCAACTTTGTGGGAACAGTTTGGGGATGGCCCTTTCCTGTTCCAACATGACTGCGCACCAGTGCACAAAGCAAAGCAAGTCCTTACCATAACCCGATAGAACACCTTTGGGATGAATTAGAGCGGAGACTGTGAGCCAGGCCTTCTCGTCCAACATCAGTGTCTGACCTCACAAATGCACTTCTGGAAGAATGGTCAAAAATTCTCATGAACACACTCCTAAACCTTGTGGAAAGCCTTCCCAGAAGAGTTAAAGCTGTTATAGCTGCAAAAGGTGGGCCGACATCATATTAAACCCTATGGATTAAGAATGGGATGTCACTCAAGTTCATATGCGTGTGAAGGCAGACGAGCGAATACTTTTGGCAATATAGTGTATGTTTAGACCGAAGGTCAGAATGAAGTCTAAAGTGTGGCTGCAATAATGAGTGGGCCCCTTTATATTTTGAGTGAAACCTACAGAGTCTAAGATAGATATGAATGCTTTACTTAGTGCTTCTTGAGGTTTGTCAAAGTGAATATTAAAATCTCGGACAATTATTACTTTATTTGAAAACGTTACTAAACTTGATAGAAAGCCAGAGAATTCCTGTAAGAACTGAGAATACGGCCCTGGCAGCCTATAGATTGTAATTAGTGAAAAGGAATTCTTATTTGTTCTTCGATCACTTATATTAAGAAAAAAAACTTTAAAAGAAGAGAATTTGTATCCTACTTTCTGGCTCACGCCTAAAGCTTTAGTATGGATGGTTGCTATTACCTCCACCCAGGCCACTTAAACGAGGGCTATGCGCATAACTGTAGCCTGTGGGGGTGGCTTAATTTAGACTAAAGTATTCATTGTCTAATCCACGTTTCTGTGAGGCACAGAGCATGAAAATCATGATCAATAATAATTTCATTTACAACGACGACTTTAGATATAAGAGATCTTATGTTAAGCAGTCCTAGCTTTAGACCAAAGGTGCTGTCACTGCAAACTGGTATAATTGGTCTGATATTAATCAAGTTACTAGAGCAAACTTTTCGAGGATTTTTGATGCTTTGTTTTATTCGGGGAACAGACATAGTCTCAATTGGGTGGAACCTATGTGGCGTCTCAAGGCAGCTCGCAGACGGTCGATTTAGCCTGTTTGTCTGCTGCCTGGCCTTGGCCCTGGTTTGTCAGCGACTAACTGTCCTACACTGAAGGCTATCTGAGAGAGTACAAACTATTCTACATGAAATGAGAGCAGCACCCTCCTGCGAGAGGTGGATACCGTCCTGACTCAAAAGACCAGGCTTGCCCTTAAAAATAGACCAATTATCTACAAAACCCACATTGTTTTCTGAGCACCACTTGGACAACCAGCAGTTCACCGACCATAACCTGCTTTAGATTTTGGCGCCACGTCGAACTGGGATGGGGCCAGAGCATATTACAGCATGGGACATCATCTGAGCTAATTTACTTACTAATTAGCTTTAGCTTTAGCTTTGCGGTTACGCCACCCAGTTGCGCCACTGTGACGGCTCTGCTGCCGGAGTCGAGGGCATGCTAGCTGTCCCTGAGACACCCAAAGCCATACTAATACTCAGGTTGCTTCGTTGGCTGAATTGATTCCTTTCCAGGGGTCTCGTGAATCCGATGAGAGAAGAAGTGAATTTCAAAGGTGGTGCGAGTAATAAACAACAGCGAACTGAAAATGTAAAAAGCTACAAAAGACTAGCAAAATAGAGCCATGGACATGGACAGTGTATAATGTGTAAAAATCACCTATCCTCTTTTTCATCACTCTACTGGTCCCAAACTGCCTCTGGAAGCAATATGAACTGTGTGACGGGAGCTTCATGAAGTGGGTTTCCGTGGCCATCCAGCATGACTGTGCCCCTGTCCACAGAGCGAAGTGAAATCTCATGAAAAGCCCTCCTAGAAGAGTGGAGGCTTTTATAGCTGCAAAAAGAGGGCCAAGTCTATATTAATGCCTATGGTTTTGAATGGGATGTAAGCTCATGTTGGTGTGATGGTCAGGTGTTAACATGCTTCTGGCCATGTAGTGTATTTCTGTGCATTTGGCATAATGCATTTTTTTGTGTTAAGGCAACCCTGTTTTGGAAAAGTACTAGGATCAGTTAATTTGTCTTATACATTGTCCGGTGCTTTTGGCTGTGTGACCATGTTAACTGTTTTATTTCTTTTTCCTAGCAGTAAATGCTAGCTGTGGTCTCCCTCTGAAGACTCTGCGGAAGACGCCCATGTATGTTTGTGGGACCTACCTGGTAATGCTGGCCTCCCCTCCTGGTGTGGCTGGTAGTTCTGCCACTCGCTCACTCTTTGGTGGTTCCAGCGGCCTTTCCTCTCTTAAGAGTAAGCTAGTTGAAAGACCAAAGTATAATATAAATACAACCCATTAGATCAGTCTGGTCAATGTTGTGTGAAAAGTAAAGTATGTGGCATCATAACCCATCCAGAAGGACACACGATTTTGACATAATATTTCTTGTTATTTTCTCCTCCTCCTAGTTCTAGCTTCTAGTCTGATGTTTAATCTGACTGATGGTCAGTTCAGCGGCCGTGCAGACCTCATTGATTCTCCCGGCAGCTCTCTGGGTCGTGGGGCTCAGGTAGCAGGACTAGGTATAAAATGTTATATCTAATTGTCAAACATCTGTTTTCATATTGTGAAAAAAGAGTCATATATGACTCAAATAATTCTTACCTGTTTAATTGGCATTGTTTTCCTCATAATGTATCAGGGGCCTGCTACGATGCTCTTAATAACTTGATCTGGACATGCTCTAGCGACTATATGGATCAGTGGTCTAATCCTGGCAACCAGGCTTTTCATCATGTGTGTCAGCGGCTTGGTGTGAACCATATCATCAAAGAGCCCAAAGGTAAGAAAAAGTTTGAATGAAATGCTTTGCAGCATAGCGTTGAACTGTTTAAATGTTTAGCAGTTAAAACAATTTTATGGAACATTTTGTTCTATTACTAGGGGTTAAAGAATACAATGAAAGAATACATCATACACAGTATCATGTTGCAAAAATGTTTTACAATGATGTGCATTGTAAAGGGGGGTGATATCAACTCTTCATATATATATATATATGTGTGTGTGTGTGTGTGTGTGTGTGAGAGAGATCTTGTGGGCTTTTTTGTTTTTAATTATTTTATTGGTCATTATCTATGATTTGTTAAATTGTCCAATGCTTATCATTCCATGAAATGTGTACAAAAGTTTCCTCTAAAGTTAGTTTCCCTAAAATGGTTGAGATTAGGATCACAGTTTATACCAAATCTGCCAGTAGTATTGTTAATAATGTTGATATTTACTGTTTGTTTTTAAGCAGTGGCCAGGCAGTGCTAAACATGCTCAACGTGACCAGGCAGTGCTAAACATGCTCAACCTGTGATATTTTAATTTTTTTATGTAACAAGACTAGGTAAGTCTAGTTTTGTCAGACCTCCAAGCTGCGCACTCTACATCTTTTATTAAATAACACCAGGAGTGTAGCAGCAGTTTTAAAAGTGAGGGGGACACAATTGTCAGTGCACCCCTGAAACCCTGGTAGTGGTTCAAAAAATATTCCCAAACTACTTCTCTTACTTTGTTTCTAGGGAAAAGAAATCTTACAATTCTCATCAATTTACATCTATGTTGCTTTCCAAATCCCAAGCAAATCTGTGCTAGTAAATAGCCAATCTCACATCATTTAACATTTTATAAACTACAGCCAAGTCGAGAAAGTGACGGTAAAACACCGTGAGCTAGTCGCTGAGTGGGGGGAAAAAGGCCTTTTAAGTGACCATTTCAGCAGAGAATGTAGTATTAACAACATTTATTAAAATGTACTAATGTACTAATCTACTTCTTTTGGACAAATGTTGGTTGCCAGGCCAACTGAGGGCTAGCTACACTCCTCACACATGCTGGTTTCAACAAAGTTTGTCAGTTAATCAGTGAGTGAAAGTGCCTCTTCTAACATTTGTAAAACAGTAGAGAAAAATATGCAACAACATGTTGACCTTGGAACTGCTGCATGTCACCTTGCAAAGTCTAAATTATTCATAGTTAATAATTAATATTTCAGAGTTAAGAAGAAGGTTTGGCTGAATAGGCTGAATGCTATATTGGTTGGTTACGAGCAGTTATGGGTCTTCAGCTAGCTATACGAAAAAGCCCAGTATTCCAAGCATAGACATCATGGTAGAGGCTGCCAAAAGACGGAAAATGGTCAGACGAAGAGAAAAACATAGTGACTGAGCAAGAGACCAGACAAGAGTAAATCTCAGATTGGCTTTTACTAGTTGGCAAAAGCGAAAAGCAATAAAAACATGTAAGACAGTCTCATAGCTAATGGGAAAACAACGAAAATCCCTCAGCAGAATGAACATCCCTGCCAGTGTTATTTCTGACAGATTGCGAGGTAGGCGGTAACCTTATCCGTGTTGTCTCTGTCTCACAGAGTTTTGTAGTTTTTCTGGATGTCAAATTGTCTAATCTCAGACCTGTTTCAGGACTGCAAACAAATAAACTTATCTCATGCCAAAAAGTTTGGTCAGTCTTTGTCAGTTTCATGCCAGATAAGCCTTTAAAGTTCGCAGCCCTCTGTAATAAAATCCTGTAATATTACTCTACTTTTTAAGTCAACATGGTTCTTTTTCTTCTGATGTTGTCTTTGTAGGTGTTATGCCAAATTCCGAGTCCCCTTTATGTGCACTCACGTCACTTGAGCATGTTGACGATACAGATTACACTCTCGATTTCAGTTATTTACACATAGAAACAACTGAAATCACAAGTGTAATCTATAGCGTCCGAATGCCTGCATGGACAGGCGAGCAAAAAATACCATTTCTCGCATAATGCTTTAACAGATCATTTTTCTGAGAAGTATTCTGGTTGCAATTTAAGTGTGATATTTTCTATAAATAAAGCTCCGGGCTTTTTTTTCCCATGAAAACTAGCACATTAATTTTTGCAGACTTGAGAGTTGCTAAATGTATTGTGCCAGTTCACAAGCTCTGCGTTATTAGATTACATTTCCCAACTTAATTTCTCCACTTAAAACAAAAATGCTTTTCGAAGAGAATTATTGAATAGTGTTATATAGTATATAATTTAAAATTGCAGTCTTTCAAATTGATTTAGTTTAACAGTTGAGGAATTGCAACGAATACCAGAACAGTGATTTCAGTATTTGTTCACTGGCACTTACTCAGGTTCTTGAGCACATCCCTACTTACCCCTTCCTTATGCAAGTGGATTATCCTGTATCTAGTCTCCTCAGAAATATATCCTTTAGCCATGTTAGATTCACATGAGAAGGAAATTAACAAGACAGCTAAGCGGTGTTTGGATAATTGCTTGTGTGAATGTCAGTGAACTTTTGAAGGGAAACGTGATATCAGTGAGCACCTTTGGGAACACATTTGTTTGGGGAAAACACAACTGGAACTGAAGTACCAGAACTGCTGTTTTTAAGATTGGAAGAACAGAAGAATTAAGGTGCCAATAGGGTGTACAAAAATAAAGAGTGAACAAATTACATACTGGTAGAATTAAAATCATGCTTAGTGTTGGAGGCTTTTGTGTAATTTTCTGTAAAATATGTTTGCTGTTTTTTTCTGACACCCTAATATATATATATATATAACTTGTACTTAGTGGTTGTTTTGACCAGAAAACAAAATGAAAGAGTAGTGTCTAACCTTTACACAGTTGTGTACCTTTGTAAGTAGGTGTTCACAAAATAAATGTTGTTTTCATGATTTTTGTGTAACTGTTGATCACTGTTTACAATATTAATTTTGTAATCAAATGATCGTTAATGTGTGAATGTGCTTTAGGTGCACATAATATAAGAGTGATTAACATTGAAGCCTGCACTCTCTAAGTAGTCTTTGTTTATTCACCGCTACAGTCGTGCCAGTTTCTTTTACTGCCCCAGTGGCTTTTTCTGTGTTAAGTAAGCATCAACCTTACTTGTTTAATACTGGCTGTAGCATACACATGAGCTCAATTCTTCAGTAAACACTTCAGGTCAAATCCTTTCTTAAATTACTGGATTAGCCTGCTAGCAGTCTGTTGAACTCATTGTTGAAACTGTATTCTTATGTATAGTATGCCTACCATGGTTTTGGGCATTCTACTTCGTGTACACATTTGTGCAAACATGTAAACATGAGTGCAAACATGTGAAATTCTGCGTTTTTTTGCCTCCAAGCAAGGTGGAGTGTAAATGTTATGCTGTATTCGAGTGTTGTTGGAAACTGGGAAACAAGTTTGCCTCTTGTAAACTGTGTTTGAACAGCTAACAAAGTCAGGATTCTAGGCGGGGGGGGTGTAGTGCAGTTGATGTTACAAAACTGTTCTTCTGCGAGTTGTGTACAAGTACATGTTTCTACTAGAAAGGTCTCCAAGTACCCAAATTTTGATTGTGCTGCTTTAATAAAAGATTTCTATTTTCAAATTGTTACCATTGATTTTTAGAGCCATTAGCATGTTTGGTCAAACACATTTGGCTTACGTTCACTGTCTTATGCTGCCTAGGAGAGGTTAGTTTCTCTTTTGAGCCTAGGCTTTTACTCACTTGTGAAGTTTAATCCAAAATGTTTTAAAATTACTCTCCTGCCCACAGAAGAGATGATGGAGACAAGTGAGGTGATTAGCCAGCTGCTACACCACGTTGGTGCCATGTGTATCCACCAGCTGAACCTGCTGGCTGCTAGCAGCAGCAGCCTGCCTCTGGGCTCCTTCCTGGGCAAGCAACAGCTGATGGAGGCCCACCACTTCAGCTCTATCTGTGACATAATGGAGAAAGCTATGGCAAATTCTGACACTTGCATCATCCGCTGCATCCTCGTGGTCTTCCAGGTACTGTTTAATTAGACACAAAAACCCTTTCTGTTAAAGGATCATAACATTGTGACTTCAGGGCCAAACCAGGTGATTTCCAGCATTTTTCCAGCTGCATTCAATAGCGAGTTTTTTAGCTGTTCAAATGCAAATGATTTTAGAAACATTTACTTAGAATGATATGTCTTGCTGGTGGTCTTACAACAGGCTGCATAATGTACCCTGACGTTTCTGAGTCATTCCTTTGGTGTTTTCTCAGGTGGTATTTCGGTTCTTCAACCCCCAGTCGGAGCAGAATCAAGAGAGTGTGAGACGATCTGGATTGCTGTTGTGGCAACTGCTTATGGCTCCTGTTGATCAGATAGGGGCAGAAATCCAAAGAGAAGTCTGTCTGGCAGTCAGGTCAGGCTTGCATACTTGCTGCACCCCAGTACGAGCAAGCAATTCAGAAACACAAATGAGTAACATTAGTTGATGAATTGATTGTAACAGAACAGATGAGAATACATGGGATCTTATTATAGGAAACAGACTGGGCAAGTTTTTGATTTGGTAGTATGTTTTTTCCTTTTAATAGGTGAATTATGATTGGTTGGGACCATTTAGGATGTGTCACTAAGGATATCAGTTTTATTAAGCCTGAACCACTTCTGATCTTTTATAAAGGCAGTTTTACCTTACTGTGTCCTACTTACACAACTGTTATAAACTGTATAAATGATATTAATCCACAACTTGTGACAGTGAGGCACATTTTCAGAAGTTAGTAAGCAGTCTAAATATCTACAGCAAGCAACAAAGCAACAAAATAGCAAATGAATTGCTATGTCTTTGAAAGAATTTTTGTTTACAGTGCAAAAACTAACCATGTCCTTTACATTGAATCTTATTATGTTTGTGCATTCCTTACATCTCAACCTATCATGTTTGTTCTTGATGCATGTGGATACACTCAAATTCTTGTTTATACAGAAATGTCCACATTTCTATGCTTTCTGGACATAAATATAACATGCAAATGTAGTTTTGATAAATAAATACGGTCTTTATTTTACTGCAGCACTTTAAAATAACAGATAGCCAAAATTTAAATTTAAGTATTAATTTAATATTTCATAATATTTTATTATGCCAGTTTATGTCAGAGTATGTCACACTAAAAACAGGGAAAAATACAATGGGGATGGAAAAATAATCACCAGCAACATCATGTTTACCTCCATCTCCCACCACTCCCATCTTTCGTTGAGCGAAAAGGCCAAGTTAGATCAGAGACCCCATCTTTTACACTGTAAGAATATATAAATATATAATTCTTGGTATAGAAGGATAATGCATTGTGATTTATGCTTTATCTTGATCTTAAGAAACAGTGGTTGTCACAGCTTGTTATTTTGAATACATTATACTTTGTTCTGTTGGGTACTAGTTCAGCAGTACTCAGCGAAAGGTGCGCGTATTAGTAAAGAAAAAGTATTAGTTAGGCATCAGTGAGTGTGTAGTAAAGGTGGAAATGATTTCTTAATGATTTTTCATCATGATTGGGTTGTTTGGAATATGGATTCAAAACAAACTGGTATACCTCTTTTCTTTCTACTGATTTTCAGCTCTGGATTGAATGTCTTGTATCAGGGCGAGTCAGAGCTGAACAACTTGTTAAAACTAATTCTGACTGAAGGTAAGATTCACAGATTTTTAGAACTTGATGCACAAAATCCACGAATTCCTATCCAGCTGGTAGCATGTGACTATTTTACATTTGACTGTCAATAATGATTGACATCTCTCAACCAATCATGTGTCTCTAGGTTCTACTTCCTTTGTTAAGCAAACAAAAAACTCAGACAGAGGCTGTCCATGGAACAGACCTGGAGTGAGAGTGATAGTGGCAGTAAATGAGTCAGAATTATTAGGCTAAGAGATGTGAAAATGTGTTCCTGAGGAGCATTTCATTCGAACACACACTATCGTGATCATCTGGACGGTGGAACTGTTTTTTATTTCAAACAAAGATGAAATAGTTTTGTGCTCAACTAGATGGAAGACCACTCACTCCCAATGTAAAAACTATTGACAAGCTTACTTAGATCATGTCTACCGATAAGTAATATTACAGAACAATATTAACATTAGTTAGCGAACTAAGCTTTTTCTTAGCGTTTAGCCTGATAAAGTGATTATGTTACAAACAGTAATTTGGCTGTGGAGCATAAAAATAGTGAAACAGTAAGGATTTCTGCAGGGATTTTTATCCCTGTAATTGTTCCCTCTTTAACAGTTTGTGAATTAGTGCTTTTTATTTTATAACCACCAGGTGAGAGAAATAGTGGCTTGTCTCAGTTACGTGACATTATCCTTAACAATCTTGCTGACCAGTTACAGAAGAACCGTTTTGGAAGTGAGGATGATGACCATTACAGGTAAGAGCTGCAAGTTTTCTCCTTTATATATTTCTTTTATAGCCTAAATAAATATTTGTTATGTTTGTGATGTTAGCCCCAAGTGAAAGTAACTTTTTTACCTGCACTGTCAGGATGGGGCTGTCACTTACTGTGATTTTTTTATTTGTTTTTTTTTTTTTTGCCCCTCCACTGTGTTTGCTTCCTGCAGGCTAAGTGATGAACTGTTGCACTGCATCCTGAAAACGGTAGTACGCGAATCGTGCCTCCTCATCACTAAATGCCAAACAGCTGCCAAGGAAGATTTCCAGAAGCTTCTCTCTACTGTACCTGTACGTCACAGTCTAAACAGCTCAAACTTCACGATCACAGTCCTAGTAGTTTTGTTAAAAACATATTCATGCATTTTAAGGTATTTTATCCTGTTATTGTCATAAACTTTGTCATCAAATTTCCATACAGTTGTAATCTACCTAAGCCTACAAAATTTGAGAATTTTTTTAGCATGGTTTTTGATTTGCTGTTGAAGGGTAATATAACTGGGGAATATCTCATTTTGTTCTTAGAAAATAATGCACCCTGTTTTTAATTTGAGAAAAGAGACAACAGAGCAAGTAAAGCCTTCCCCGTCAATGCTAACCACTTGACATTATTACACTGTGATCAGCTAGTTGTTTTGAACTGTGTGAAAAAAGCTGAAAAACGGAGTTTGTAAGTTATTAGCTACAAGAGTACAGGTATCTAAAAGCAGATTAATAATTGAAAAAAAGACTGTATGAGGAACATTACACTCAAAGCACAGATATCCATGTATTCGTTAAACTTGTCATGAGTTCCAACCAGTCACATGACATGTCTCGCTAGGTCTAAACACAACAACCAGAACGCAACCAGAGCATCGTGTGCCACCCATACACTAGAAGACTTTGAAAAGTCTGACACCCTCTCACATTTAAAGACAATATCAGAGAGGTTTTAGTAACAGACTATGATTTTGCAAAGACTAGGGATCTTACAGGGTTACTATTTGCAAGACTTTTTGCTAGACTTTTGCCAGCCTTACACCAAACGAATTTTCAAGCGATTTCACTGTCGCAGACAAATTTCCAATGTCTTTTTCTTGTCTTGACACTGCGACAAAATCAACCGTGTTAAATATTATTGTAAGTTTTATGTGTTGGCTCAAGACAATAGTGATGTGCCAGGGGTGCAAGTGCGAGTGAGCGAGCGAGCGCGCACATGCATGCGGCGAGAGAGAGAGAGAGAGAGAGAATGAATTCATGTGTGAGTGCATGAAATCTCCACAAAAGCGAATCTACTCCACTTTAAAACGATAATCATGTTAACTTAATACAACCAGTTTACATTTTTAATATTTCACGTTCACTAAGCCTGTAACAGTGATGTAAGGAAATGTGCAGAGGACTTTAAGAATGGCTTTATTGAAGAAGCATCTCCGTTTTTTGTTTTTTTTTTTTTCAATTTTTCTTTTCTTTCTGTTACAGTCGTTTCTTATTTTGTTTGTTAGTTTTTCATGGTTTAGTTCATAACACCCAGTCAACAATACTGAATCGCTGCATATTTTGTTAATGTGTAAATATTTGTTAAATATGAAAGTAACTGCGTATTTTAAAGGTACATTAAAAAATCCTGCGTGAACTGGGCTGAGCATTCCCAGCCAAAGTATCTTCCCAATTGCAGCACTGTAGTGTGGAGAAGGAAAAGGCTTCTCTGCTTGTAAATTTCCACCAGGTGCAAATGGAATGCAAGTTACTTTTTTCATTTAACGTTAAGATTAACATAACAAAACATAGCAAAAAAGGAAAAAGATTTAATACTTCTTCAGTAATGCCATTCATGTTTCTTTACATCACTGTTACACACTCAGTGAATATTAACAGTCAGTTTCCATTTTTAAATGAATGATTATTGTTTTAAAGTGGAGCAGATTAGCCTTTTTACAGAGCTTTCAGTCACTCACACATGCATCCTTTTTGCTCGCTCGCTCGCTCGCTCTCTCTCTCTCTCTCTCTCTCTCGCTCTCGCTCTCTCTCTCTCTCTCTCTCTGTCAAGCACATAACCATGCAGTCTTTATCGACAGACAATGGGTTGTACTTAAGAGCTCAGGTTTTTTTTATTTTTTTTATTTTTCTTAATAAAATATTTTTTCTCATCAGTCCAAAGCTGCAAAATGTTAACTCATTGGCCTCTTTTCAACTGCTGGGCGAATGGTTCTGAGCACGTTCCAGTGGCTTTTCCACATAGACACGGTTCGACACAGAACGTTTAAAAATCCAGGCTCAGCGCATTTTCTTTGGCACGGTTAGCTAACCATACTCAGGGCCACTGAACCTTTTGGTGCAATGACGTAACGACATAGCTATTCACTGATTGATTTTACGTTTATGTCAGTACCTTGCCACTGCATCCTGCTACGTTATGTCAAACTCGAAAAACAATCAAGTAATTAAGTTCACTCGCAGGGATGCCAAATAAATGAAAATTGTGCATGATTTTACATCCACCACGTCAAATAAATGTCAAAGCGTCAGTCTAACGTCAATTTCTACTTGTTGAATGGCGTTGATAACCAGGAGAAAGTAGCATGCTGCCTGCTCTGCTCATAACAGAACAGAATCTGAGGAAGCGGGTGGTTGGTGTTGGAGGGAAGGAAAGCTGAAATGAAATGTGTTTTGTGTTTAGAGCTGTAGCATCCTAGCTAAGCAAATGCTAGCAGGCTCCTCTCTCCTAGCTAACTTAGCTAAGGTAAAAAGATCCAAATGGCCCAGTACAGTTAGTTTCAATTAATTTCAGTAGTTAGTTTCAGCGAGATTTCAGCGAGAGCAAAGTCGACTGATTGGTGTTGGAGTGACAGAAAGCTGAAATCAGACCTCCTCAGTAGTGTTACATGAGCGTGCGGTGCCTCCCTCTACAGTAATGTTACACACTAAGTTCCAGCTAACCGGTGCTTAAAAACACCTGTTTAGAGAATAAAGACTCATATTTGAGCACAAATACAAATGACTGGTGTTGAAGTTACAGATATATAACAAATATACTTATGTGGAGCTTTGTACTGTACCCTGCTGGCCGACCTTAATGCATAATCTATGTGCTTTTTAATACAGCAAAGAAAAAGCATGATTGTATTCTCTGGACCTCCATGCTTTCTTTTTCTGTGTGTTCAACGTATCTATGAAGAAGCACCTGAATGAAGTGAAATAGTACTTACTAGTTAACAATCTGGTATATACGATCATATATGATGTCATGAAAACAGCACAGTTACATCTATCCACATACTCAGCTTACACCAATTCAGCACCGCTCAATTGAAGTGTTTTTGACCCTAGATTGCTTTTTATAAACCAGACAGTCAATCAAAATGGACCTCATTTACATTATTAATTCTCAATAATAGAGTTATCATATTCTTATAAAGTTGATTTTGTATTCATGTTTTTCAGTAGAATTCAAACAGTGTGTAAAAGGAGTAATACTTTTAAATTGTGATTTATCATCAATTATCGTTGGGGTCCAAGACAAACAGCTATTATATTGTTAACTTATGCTAAATTGTGGCGATAGGTAAAAGTGAGTATGTTTCAGTAGCTTTTGAATGGTTGACCGTATTGCACCAGATACATGCATGCCATGTGAGTTACATTTGCTTGAGTACCAACTGTTTTCGAGCATTCTGATCAAACTTTAGACAAGCTATTTTAATCATTTCACAAAAACCTATCACCACAATTTTGCAGATGTTAGACTTTCCAATATAAGAAGTACAGTATGTTGTGTAGACGGCACTTGATTAAATACAACTTATATAAACATGTATCTAGCTGTGTGAAGTTTAGTTCATGTCTTTACTGATGTGTGCTCCATGCTGTTTACCTGGCCTCTTCAACTGCCATGGTTGCTAGCCTGTGCATGCATGGCAGGCTCCTCTGTGGGGAAGAGCTTTGGAGGCAGGGCAGGAATGCAAAGGAGAGGGAGGGCGAAGGATCTGGTTCAAAATTTCAAGTCCACTCTCTCCTTAATTCTACCTACAGCAGCCTTAAAGACCTAATGCAACTCATCGGACCCCGCCAGTGGCCACATGCGGCTCTCTACTGTAAATTACTTTGTACACAGCACCTTAGCTCTCGCTGTGGTCATGGCATCCAGTAGAAATCATGTTCTGCCTTTTAAAAGTCAAATATTTCTGACATAAATGTAGTTGTGTCTGCTCGTCTTGAATGTCAACATCAATTATTTGCAAGGATTAACCGTTTTGCACACACCATTCAATAAGAGAGTATGCAGAAACCAACTTTACCATAGTGCATCACTGGACTTTTCTGCTGAGAAACCTACACATTTAAGCTATCTGCTGCATTATGGTATCTTTTCACGATTTTGACAGGGTTCGTTCTTTGTTTTCATACAATGTGAGACAATAAAGAGGTTGCTGTTTTGTGTTTTTTCAGGCGCTGTGTTTAAAAGTGAATCAAATGAGAGGCAGTTGGGTTTAAACCAACTACAGAAAGATGCCAGATTTTATTTTGATTATAAAATTGACCTTATTGATGCCATGGATCCATACAAACTCTAAAACAAAGAGTGGTATAATGATCTGTATATGCTAACTATGGCTCCTCTTTCATTCACAGACCTTTCCTACCTGTGCTGTGGCTTAAGTAGTTGTTCTGTTGTTCTTTTCAGAGTTTTCAAGTCACTCAAACCCCATGTACAGTTTATACAACTCAGTTGCTGCAGTATTTAACTTTGTCACTGGCATATCTAACCAGACTGGCGTAAATTTCACTCCTGTGCTACCCCAGGTACAGGACGGGTGCTCGAGGCAGGATAGATGGTTGCAGGAGCCATTTTAACTTTTTACAGACGAAACCTAAATGGGTCACCTCTTCGTGGCTCCTAGACTTTTCAGTCCTTTTCTCACATGCAAGCTCCCCAGCTTGCCAGTCCTCTTCTCATGCTGCTGCTGTTGTTGCTTGTCCCTCTGCTCTTTTTGAAGGAGCTCACGCTGCTGATGCCACATCAGCATTAGCTGGCTCTCATAAAGGGCAGCATAAGCTCCTGAGCCAAGAAGGAAAGCAAGCTTGTTGCTCTGCCTCCCTGTCACCACCCCTGCTCCATGGCTCAGCTGCAAGGATTGAACATGAGGCATAGTAATGTGGCCTTGCATCAAGACCAAAGTCGGTGCCCTGGAGAAGGGCACCTTCCCATGGTCATCGCGGGTTTTCATCTGCGCTCAGAGTTCGGGCCCCGCCTTCCTGCCGGCTCTTGTGTCTGTCACTGGGGCCTGGGGGATGGGCGCATAGCGCAGTCGCCTTTTAGTAAACAATACTTAGTTAGCAAATTAATGATAATATTACTGTACTGTATCATATTAAACCTCACAAAAACCAGATTAGATCATGTGTGGCCTAAGTTTACACGGAAAGATCAGTCAACCTATAGTCCTTAAGAGAAAGAGATGTTGTTCGTTGTTGTTGTTTGCAAAATCAAAGAAATTCTGGTTATCATTTTATGTAACGTTAAATGTCTCATTAAATGTCTTGGAAACATTCTGGGAGGATGTGCAGTTTGAAGATGTCACTGTAGCTGAGTGAAGCTGGAAGTATAGCAAAGACAGGAATCTTCCAGCTTAAACCTAACAAGGATGCGCAGTGCTTCAGAATGCAGCTTCATAGTAACTCCCTGAAAAAGCCTAGCTGTTGTTGTTGAAATCTGTGCCCATAAAATCCAATCAGATGACAGACTGCCAATTGTGCAACAATGGTTTACACTTTGAATTTCCTTTATAACTGGATATATTCTGCCCTTACTAGTGCAGAGGCCTCGCTGCAGAGCAGGGGTCGGGCCCCAGGCGGTGGAGCTCAGGACTCGCTTTCCACTTTCGTGCCTCTCGTGGCTGTCATCGTTGTCGTTGTCCTCTCTCTCGTGGCCGACGTCCTCCTCCCACCGTCACTTGCGTCCCTCAGCGGTGGTCGGGAGTAGTGTACAGTTTCCCACTCACTCGCAGCCCTTTCCCCGCCGTGCTCGTCGGTGTTCGGGCCCCGCCTTTCTCTTGGGCTCTCGTGGTCGTCATCAGGGCCCGGGGAACGGCCGCATGCCTCATACCCCCAGCACCCAACTCAGGCCAGGAACCTTGGCAACATGTTCACAAGGAGAGGGGGGGGTGGAAGTGATATCTGAACCCTCTCGGAGCAGGGATGGGAGGGGAATGGAGGCGCTTTCGGAGCCGAGATGGAAGGGGAAACAAGGCGAGCTCCAAGCGCTCTTGGAGCAGGGATGGGAGACTTGAAAGGGGGTTAAGAGGGGGGCTCCTGCACCCACGTACGAGGGATGCCGCTCCGCCAGCAGGCTCCTGATCATCTTGACAGGTCTACACCTGCTGCTTCCAGTGCTGTTCAGCATCCTGGAGGACAGCCTGCAGCTCCCTCCAGCCGGCCAGGTGCAGGTGGACCAGGGTCTTGACGGCCTCCTCTTCTGCCACGGAGACTTCCTCAGTGTGTTGCCGTCCTCCTCCCGGGTTTCAGCACCAATGTAGCATGTCATGCGCAACCCTGGGCTCAAGGAGGGCACTGGAGGCAGGATTCAGGGTCGCAGCAGCCATTAACTTTAATTTCACGTTCAACTACAAACACAACAAGTAAATCCAACTAGACTTTTCAGTCCTTCCCTTTACTCGAGCTTTTCAGCTCTTCACTGTCTCGTCCATCACTCTCTGTCTCTGTTCTCTCTCCACTCTTTTTAAAAGGCGCTCACGCAGTCGGCCAGATCAGTATCAGCTGGTTCTCATTAAAAGCAGCGTGAGCACCTGAGCGGAGAGGGAATGAAAGCTTGTTGCTCCGCCTCCCCGTCACCACCCCGGCTCCACAGCTTGTCCGCCCGGATCAAACGTGAGGCAAGTTAAAGTGGTCTCACTGCAGGACCAGAGGTGGCACCCAGGAGGCAGGGCTCGGGACTCGTGCGCCGTCTTCCCCTCACTTACAGTGTTCCTCTCCCCACTGTCCTCGCCAGGCTTCGTCTGCGCTTGGAGCTCATGCTCTGTCTTCCTGCCAGCTCTTGTGGCCGCCATCGGGGCCCGGGGGACGGGTGCACGTCTCCACATGGAGGCTATAATTTCTGTAGGCTATAAAGTTTCTAAAAGTTAGACTATAGCATTCAGTTTTCTATTGACAGGTTGATTACAAACATTGGTAAAAAAGCATTTAAGCATCCCAACAATAACAATTATTTGTATTTTGTTCATTTACTAATTTGTCTTCTTACGATTTAGTATGTTGTTATGTGTATGTTTATGTATGTATGTATGTATGTGTGTGTGTGTGTGTGTGTGTATATATATATATATATATATATATATATATATATATAATGTTACGTTATATCATATTATACTTGCTGAATGTTCTGTCCATAAGAGTGCAGGAATAACGAGAATAGGCTGAAATTGTCATTTTTAAAGTTTTCACTCGTCTAAGAAAACATTAGTTGCTGCTTTGTAAAATAATTTAGAACTGTTTGTTCATGGAAAGGTAAAAATAACAATGTCCATGATCCACTTGTCCAACACAACCTTTCACTTATCGTGAACATTCAGATAAGAATTAATGTCAAGCTCCGGGTTTAAAAACAAAACTTTTATTTTACCTCAGGTTGCCTCACCAAGTTTGCGATACCTCATGGCTGTGCAGAACCATTTGCTCAGTAACACTGTTCTGATCCGCCCTGATGACAGTGACGACAGCGACAGCTCCCTTCAAGGGGAAACAATGAAGGTACAGGTAAACATCCCCTTTATATACCCCTAACTGTCTGTTTGTGTCTGTGTAAAATTGCAACATATAGAGCAAAAAATTAACTCGATCTCTGTTACAAACTTCAGAAGTCTGTAGTTGAGCTTGAGCTGCTCATAAGATATTAGTGACACTACAGCAGCATTACCTTTGTGCTAACATAATAAATCCCTAAGTAGTTCTGCAAAGAGGAGTGGGCACATTCTGCAAAATGTGGGCACAAATTCCACATGAAACGCTTATATCAAATTATAGGAAATGTTGGTCGCAGTTATTGCTGCTAAAGGTCATGAAACAAGTTATTCATTTTAAGGGGCAGTTACTTTTTCACGTGGGTGATCTGTATAAAGATGTCTTTGCTGCTTAAATAAATGAAATAATTTTAAATATATGATTTGTGTTTGATATGGTTCTCTTCTAACATGACATTTTGTGCATCTAAAAGCATTAATTGTGATACAAAATCAGAAAGGGGAAAATTACTTTTATACTGAGTATTGGCTCAAGGTTGAGTTCTCAATAGAAGTGTTTGTGTCCATGTGTTTTTCTAAGGAACTACAGACGAGCATTCTGTCACTGGCCACTAAAGTGTTGGTGGGCTGTGATGAAGTGCTTGAGACTCTTCAGCAAGTCACCACTGCTCTTATCAGGAGTGACATTAGCGATCGTGAAAGCAGGTGAGCCTGAAAATTTTACTTCGTGTTTTTGACTGCATGAGAACATCAGGCTGTACTACCCCTGCATTATTGATAAAATGATGGAACAGTACAACTGGCACCTAATTAAAAGTGAGCCAAATAAAATACATAAAAAATAAAATTGGATCTGACCAAAATTCATCAAGCATTAAGTATGTGTTAGACAGCTAGACAGTACGTTCTCATTTATTCTTGGAAATAAGTGCACCTGAGAGCCTTCTAGCTAGCAATCTGGATAAGTAGGAAACCTATTTAGACTGCATTAAGACCCACATTACTGCCTCAAGTTAGAGCTTTGATATGGATAGTTAGGAATGGAGTCTTGACAGTCTGATTATTGCTGAGATATCACCATGGCCAAGATCCACCTGCTTTGACAGGAAAGGACCATTTGACGGATGTGAAATGAAGCTGCCTTTGTGTGATATGCCAGCAGATTTCGTGTTTTCTAGATGTCTTGCTTTTGCATGCTGCTGGTGGCTTGCTAGGGTTTAACTTGATACACAAAATTTAGTTTCTTGTCAAACCGATAAAGTCAATGTATGGAAGCATGTGGTTTCAAAAAATCTATTGGTTTTTTTAAAAAAAAAGTGAATAGTAGTTGGATCTTCTAGGACACTGAGCCACAACATGGATGGGTAGAAATTCACACAGATACGTTTCAGTGACCACAGAATGACAGCTTTTGGCATGGACAACCCTGTCCCTTGACTTTAACCCCATTAAAAGTTTTGATGTGAGTTGAAGAGGCTAGTGTATATATATAGAGGCTAGTCCACAAGGATGGATGGATGGTTGGATGGATGGTTGGATGGATGGATGGATGGATGAATGGATGGGTGGATTCACATTTTTTTTCCTCGGATTTTCAGTGTGAGATTCAGCCAAAAAGACATTTTTATACCAACTTTTTTCATCTGTCTTTGAAGCATGCAATTTAATTTTTTTTATTGAAGACATTTTTTTTAGCTACAAACTGCTTGAAAGAATAGAAGTGTTACGGGACGGCGGGGAGGCGGACCCAAGTGCAGAAATGGAAACAGAAAAAAAAATGGAAAAAATGAGTTGTTTGTGATGCTGGGTTGTGAATCCGAAACATGCACATGAGGTGACCCAAAGCCAGGTTCGAACCGGCGATGTATTGATCGGCGCTTTGTGGCGTTGCCACTGCACCACTGAGAAGCACAGGTAACTACTGGCAATAACACCTCAAGGAAGGGGGAAAAGAAAAGGTGGGAAAATGACGAACGGCAAACAAAAGAGACGCTGAGAGCACCGTGCTCAAACAAAGGCTGAACTAGAGAGGCGAGAGGACAGATAATAGGAAAAACAAAAAAACACTTCCACTCCAAAAACGATGGGAAGGCAGACCTCTTCTTTTCCTTTTTTTTTTATTTATTTATTATTTATTTATTTTATTTTTTTTGGCTTTAAGCCGCTTTGGGACAGTTTCTTTTCTCAGCCCTCTTTTCTTTTCTTTTTTAGTTTTGGGGCAATTTCTCTTCTCAGCCCTCTTTTCTTTTTCCTTTTTAGTTTTGGGGCAGTTTCTTCTCTCAGCCCTCTTTTCTTTTTCTTTTTTAGTTTTGGGGCAGTTTCTTCTCTCAGCCCTCTTTTCTTTTTCTTTTTTAGTTTTGGGGCAGTTTTTTTTCTTTTCTTTTCTTTTCTTTTCTTTACTTTTCTTTTCTGACACTAAGTACCGTACCGGTCACCCCTCTACAAAGGTGTGACAAACACCACTGTTTGCCTTGACCTTAAGTAGAGGAGTCCGCAGGTGTGTCGCATTGGGCCTAATCAGCCCGCGGACTTCTGGGAATTGGAGTTCCCTGAAGTTATGGCCCTGTGCCGCGGTCGCCCTCTGCTGGCAGCTGGCGCCGCAGGCCGGACACCCTGCTGCCGTCGCCCTCTGCCGGCAGCAGGCGGGGCCGGCTGAACCCTTACAGGACCCCCCCTCCTAGGGACGGCCCCAGAAGTCCCAAGGCCAGCAGCGCGTGTCCGTCGGAACTCCCTAACGAGCTCCGGGTGCAGGATATGGCGTGCCGGAACCCAAGACCGCTCCTCAGGCCCGTAGCCCTCCCAGTCAACCAAGTACTGGGTGCCACCCCGCACACGGCGGGAGTCCAGGAGGCGGCGGACCGTGTAAGCTGGGGAGCCAGCAACAAGCTGCGGTGCTGGGGGCCGAGTCCCACAAAGGAACGGCCTAAGGCGCGACACGTGAAATGCGGGGTGGATCTGCATGGAGGGCGGAAGGCGTAGCCGGTAGGTGACTGGGTTGATCCGCCGGTCGATCTTAAAGGGCCCCACATATCTAGGCGCCAGCTTTTTGGACTCCACACGGAGCGGAAGGTCCTTGGCCGAGAGCCAGACCCGCTGGCCTGGCCGGAAGGTGGGGGCTGGGCGCCTCTTGCGGTCTGCCACCTGCTTTCTGGCCTCGGCAGTGACCAAGAGGGAAGCACGGGCCTTCCGCCATGCTCTCCGGCAACGCTGCACAAACTGCTCCGCAGCAGGAACCCCAACCTCACGCTCCTCTTCGGGGAACATGGGCGGAGAAAACCCAAACTGGCACTCAAAGGGTGACATGCCCAGGGACGAATGCCGGAGAGTGTTTTGGGCATATTCCGCCCAGGGTAGATACTCCGCCCATGAGGAGGGGTTGGTGGAGGTCAAGCACCGCAGAGTCCGGGCAAGGTCTTGATTGACCCTCTCAGTTTGGCCATTGGACTCTGGGTGGAAGCCGGAGGAGAGGCTCACAGAGGCTCCCATGAGCTGGCAGAAGGCCTTCCAAAAACGGCTAGCGAACTGGGGACCCCGGTTAGACACCAGATCACTAGGCATCCTGTGAACCCTGACCACGTGCTGTAATAGGAGCTCCGCTGTCTCCTTGGCAGAGGGAAGCTTGGGCAGGGCCACAAACTTACATGCCTTGGAGAAGCGGTCCACGAGGATGACTGTGTTGCCTTTGGAGGGGGGTAGACCCATGACAAAGTCCAGGGAGACGTGAGACAATGGACGCGCAGGGGTGGGCAGCGGGTGGAGGAGACCTTGGGGCCGTGACCGGGGTGCTTTGCAGCGTGCGCACGTCTCACAAGACGCAATGAAGGCACGGATGTCCCTCTCCATGCTAGGCCACCAAAATCGCCTGCGCAAAAAGTCCAGGGTCCTAGCCACCCCTGGGTGACCTGAAAATGGGGAGGCGTGCCTCCATAGCAGCACCCGTTGCTGCACGGCAGCAGGCACGTACAGCTTACCGGGGGGGCCGCCTCCAGGATCAGGCTCCTGCCGTAGGGCCTCCCTGATGGCAGTCTCCAGCTCCCAACGGAGTGGGGCCAAGATCTGAGGAGCGGGAATAATGGGTTCCGGGGAGGGGTCAGACCCCGGAGGTGCCCACTGTCTGGACAGAGCATCAGGCTTGGTGTTCTTAGAGCCTGGCCTATAAGACAGCAGGAAATCAAAGCGGCTAAAAAACAGTGCCCATCGGGCTTGGCGAGGGCTTTGCCTGTTGGATATAGGCCAGGTTCTTGTGGTCGGTCCAGGCCACAAAGGGATGTTTAGACCCCTCAAGCCAGTGCCCCCATTCCTCCAGGGCGAGCTTCACGTCCAGAAGCTCCCTGTCTCCGACATCGTAGTTGCTTTCAGCTGGGGTAAGACGATGGGAGAAGAACACACATGGGTGGAGCTTCTTGGCCGGACCTAAGCGTTGGGAGAGTACGGCCCCAACACCCACTTCCGAATCGTCTACCTCGACGACAAACGGTTCCTCCGGATCGGGCAGCTGGAGGACCGGGGGAGATGTCAACCGTGCCTTGATCTCCTCAAAAGCCTTTTGGGCCTCGATGGTCCAACGAAAGGGCCCTGGGGTCTTCCGGGTAAGGGCGGTGAGGGGTGCCGCCACGGAACTGAAGTTCCTCACAAAGCGTCGGAAGAAGTTGGCAAACCCCAGGAAACGTTGGACCAACCGGAGGGAGGTAGGACGGGGCCAGTCCACCACGGCTCTGATCTTGGCCGGGTCCATGCGGAGGGTGCCCTTGGACACCACAAAGCCCAAAAAGGACACCGTAGAGACATGGAACACCGACTTCTCCAGCTTAACATACAGGCGGTTCTCCAGCAATAGTTGCAGGATCCGCCTGACATGCCCGACATGTTCCTCGAGGGACCGGCTGTAAATGAGTATGTCGTCGAGGTAGACATACGCATAAAGACCCAGGGCTTCTCTGAGGACTTCATTTATGAAGCGCTGGAAGACCGCCGGGGTGTTCATTAGCCCGAAGGGCATTACCCGGTACTCATAATGCCCGGTGGGGGTGATGAACGCCGTCTTCCATTCATCCCCCTGCCGAATGTGGATGAGGTTGTAAGCACTGCGCAAGTCCAGCTTAGTGAATACTGCGGCTTGCTGCAGTGCCTCAAACGCTGTTGACATGAGGGGCAAGGGGTGGCGGTCTTTTACGGTGATGGCGTTGAGCCCACGGTAGTCCACGCAGGGGCGGAGACCTCCGTCCTTCTTTCCGACAAAGAAGAAGCCTGCCCCTGCAGGAGAGGAGGATGGGCGTATGAACCCCAGCTCTAATGCTTCACGGATGTATTCATCCATGGCAGCACGTTCAGGGGGCGAGAGTGCAAACAACCGGCCGCGGGGTGGTGTAGCACCTGGGAGCAGGTTGATGGTACAGTCGAACTCCCTGTGGGGCGGCAGAACCTGGGCCTTCTCTTTACTGAAGACCTCCTTGAGGTCCCAGTAGTCTCTGGGGACCCCTGACAGGTCTGGCATAGCGGGACCCTTGAGGGAGGGCGTCCCTCGGAGGGGGCCAGGGTCGACCAGGCAATGACCGTTACACCGGGGGTCCCATGCATATATGGACTGTGTCGACCAGTCAATGCGAGGGTTGTGCTGCCTCAACCAAGGGAACCCCAACACAAGTTGCAAGTGGGGGGCTTGGGTGAGGTACAGCGCCGTGCTCTCACTGTGGGGACCCACTCGCAAGGTGACTGGCCCAGTGTGATGAGTGACGGGCCCAGACCCCAGAGACTGGCCGTCAATGGCCATAACCGGTAGAGGACGTTCCAGGGGCTCAATGGGTAGGCCCAGCTCAGCAGCCAACGTGACATCAAGAAAGCTTTCTGCTGCTCCTGAGTCAACGAAGGCCTGCAAGGTCGTGTGTTGACTGGGCCCCCATGAAAGTTTTACTTCCAAGAAGAGCCCCGAAGTGGGGGAAAAGGATGACTGGCCCCTCACCGGTCCCCCTGACCGGAGCGGGCCCGTGCGTTTCCCCATTGCTTGCTAGTATTGCCAGGGCGTCTGGTCTCAAATGATTGAGGCCCAGAACCGCGATCAGGCAGCCCAGCACTACCGAGTTGCATGGGCTCAGGCAGGTCCCTGCTAGGTGGTGACCTGGCTGGAGAGGGGCGCCAGGGGGGACGGGAGACAGGAGCGCGGGAACCACCTCTCTGGTCCAAGTCTCTTTGACGCATGCGGGTATCCAGACGGATGCATACGTCATAGAGACCCTCTAACGTGGAGGGCAGCTCCCGGGTGGCTAGTTCATCCTTGAGCTTCCAGTTAAGTCCCTGATGGAATACGGCAGTTAGCGCCTCCTCATTCCAGCCACTTTCAGCGGCCAGGGTACGAAACTCGATGGCATAATCCGCCACCGAACGGGCTCCTTGGGAGAGGGCCAGGAGGCGGGGTGCCGCCTCCCTACCCCCGATGGGGTTATGAAAGGTCGCCCTCATGGCCTTGACAAAACTCTCTCCCGATGCTGTGTCAGGAGAGTCCTGCTCCCACAGCGAGGTGGCCCAAGCCAAAGCCCTACTGGTCAATAGAGAGATTATGTAAGCCACTTTGGACCTCTCTGTGGGGAACCGGGAGGGTTGCTGCTCAAACACCAGAGAACACTGCAAGAGAAACCTTCTACAGGTCTCTGGGTCCCCTGCATACCTCTCTGGATTGGCCACCAGAGCATCACCCCGGATGGGGTTCAGGTCAGCGGGGGGGGTGGAGTGGGAGCTAAGGCAGGAGCAGGGGCATCAGCACTGGCAGGCTGAACCCCCTCAGTCTGTGCCCTGACCAGAAGGGTCAGCTGCTGCATCATGTCTTGCAACAGCTGCTCATGCCGGCCAATAACAGCACCCTGAGTTTGCAGGGCAGATCTTATGGGATCCAATTCTGCTGGGTCCATGTTGGTCACACCTTTCTGTTATGGGACGGCGGGGAGGCGGACCCAAGTGCAGAAATGGAAACAGAAAAAAAAATGGAAAAAATGAGTTGTTTGTGATACTGGGTTGTGAATCCGAAACATGCACATGAGGTGACCCAAAGCCAGGTTCGAACCGGCGATGTATTGATCGGCGCTTTGTGGCGTTGCCACTGCGCCACTGAGAAGCATAGGTAACTACTGGCAATAACACCTCAAGGAAGGGGAAAAGAAAAGGCGGGAAAATGACGAACGGCAAACAAAAGAGACGCTGAGAGCAGCGTGCTCAAACAAAGGCTGAACTAGAGAGGCGAGAGGACAGATAATAGGAAAAACAAAAAAACACTTCCACTCCAAAAATGAAGGGAAGGCAGACCTCTTCTTTTCCTTTTTTTTTAATTTATTTATTATTTATTTATTTATTTTTTTTGGCTTTAAGCTGCTTTGGGACAGTTTCTTTTCTCAGCCCTCTTTTCTTTTCTTTTTTAGTTTTGGGGCAATTTCTCTTCTCAGCCCTCTTTTCTTTTTCTTTTTTAGTTTTGGGACAGTTTCTTCTCTCAGCCCTCTTTTTCTTTTTTAGTTTTGGGGCAGTTTCTTTTCTTTTCTTTTCTTTTCTTTGCTTTTCTTTTCTGACACTAAGTACCGTACCGGTCACCCCTCTACAAAGGTGTGACAAACACCACTGTTTGCCTTGACCTTAAGTAGAGGAGTCCGCAGGTGTGTCGCATTGGGCCTAATCAGCCCGCGGACTTCTGGGAATTGGAGTTCCCTGAAGTTATGGCCCTGTGCCGCGGTCGCCCTCTGCTGGCAGCTGGCGGCGCAGGCCGGAGACCCTGCTGCCGTCGCCCTCTGCTGGCAGCAGGCGGCGCAGGCTGGACACCCTGCCGCCGTCGCCCTCTGCTGGCAGCAGGCGGCGCAGGCTGGACACCCTGCCGCCGTCGCCCTCTGCCGGCAGCAGGCGGGGCCGGCTGAACCCTTACAAGAAGTGTAAGATATAAGTGAATAGAGAAATATTTAGACTGCTAATCCACTGTGCTCTGCACATATGGGTTCACATGCCAGCTTTGTTGAAAACGTTTTTTTTTAGTATATGGAGAATTATAAGGAGTTAATTCTGTGGTGACACTCATTGATCCAGTTCAGTCCTCAGCTGCTCCAGTTCAAGTGCTTTCAGAGCCATGTTTTGTGTGGATAGATTAAAAAATGCAAAACTCACAACTTAATGATAATTTGGTGCTGTGATGTGATGTTGGGCTGCAGTTGGAGGTGGCATAGTAGAGCTAACAAAGCAGACAGTGGCAGTTATGGCAGTTTAAAGCAGTTTTCTGAATGAGACATTTACTGTAAAGTTTGTTAAATAAAGACACATTTTCTGAAAAAAAATCGCACTGAAAGAATGGAAGATTATATTGATAGAGCGAACATTTTTTTCTGACTAGGCTGCAGGCAAAAATGCAGATTATTAGCTGATGAAACAGATTGTGAGGGTAAGTTACAAACATATCACAATCAAATTTAGAAACGTACAAGGAAGCAAAAAAGCACCACAGTAAAGCTATGGTATGTTTTAAACACAGTGTCTTACAGATTGCTTCTTATGCATGACTCTCATGCATGACAGCTGCTTTTTGCTGTTTGCCAGTGTTGTATGATTCAGAGTCAGTGAGAAAATAAGAAGAAATCACTTTATGTTGTAACACCATTAATGTATTTTAGTGACTGATTGAAAGGAAAAAAATATAGAAGATAAGTATTTGTCATATAAATCACCTGGGTCATTGTAAGAGGAGAATTATAAGCATTCTGCTTGTACTTTGGGGTTCAGACAAAAAATATCAGGAGGAAAATGCCCACTTGAGCCCCCCTTTTTTCATTTTGTCGTTTCTTTCTGTCTTACACACATTATCATTGCTTCTGCTCTCTAGACTGAAGGGACTTGAGCAGGTGACTAAAGCTACCTTGTTGGGACATTTGCTACCAGTACTGTTGACCTCTCTGATGCACCCCAACCTGCAAACCCTGTCCCTAGCTGATGCTCTCATGCCACAACTTGTCCAGCTTGTTCTCTACACCAGTCAGGTATGTATATGACAACAAAATATTAACTGCAATATTTTGTAGCATGACACTTTGATTTGATTTACATGAACAAGTTTCTTTCTGTTTGATTAGACTGCTCTACTTTTGAAGACCCAGTCTGCATTATTTGTCGAAGGCTCACTACTGATGGGTGGCCCAGTAAATCATGGCATCAATATGCCCAGTAATGTTGACAGGTAGGTTCACACAGCGTCTTTTGTCTTATCCTGTGTCTTATTTTTTTCCATCATTGAACTGTTCAAAATGCTTTTAATGTTTGTTTAAGGGTTAGTGATAATAATAATAATAATGTTGATAATAATAATAATAATAAATATTTATTTATAACTAAGCGTTTAACTAACTAAGCTTTTCTTATAACTAAGGTCATATTACAGAAGCATTACAAAAAATAAAGAAATAATCAAATCAGCTGGACAATGAATATATGTAATACAGTGTTTAATAAAAATCCTTTTCACGTTACATCTCTATATTGTTATCATGAAATACAATCTATGAACCTTTACTATTGGTGAAAAGATTGCAAATTGAAAGATATACAATGTTAGTTCATGCGCAGACTTTTCCCTCAGTTTCCGGATTCTTGATGAAAGGGAGGAACCAGGCTTCCTGACTGGTCTTAAGATCCCTGCCCCCTGGGCTGCTGGGAAAACTGTGGAGACTGTCCATCCAGTGCGAGACAACTACAAATTTAAAGAGACTGTCCATATTCCTGGTGCTCGCTGTCTTTATTTGCGCTTTGACCCACGCTGTTCTTCTCAGTATGACTATGATAAGGTATTTATCCCAATTTACATATATATGGCAGACACATTCACGGGCCATTTTTTTTGCTAACCATTCATGTTAAAATATCCACATGTGAACAGCAATTCACTATAATGTCATAAGGTGAATTGGTCGGTAAGATAGAATCTGGCATGTTATAAAGTAAGCCATTTTGTAATCAGTGTGGAATGTTGTGTCAGACAGTGCTGCTTGTTTTGTTATGTAATGTGGAAGTTTTAGTGTAATATGTTTTAATATTGAAAGTGTTAATATTCAGTTCTCTCTTTTTATACTTGAAGCTTGTGATCTATGCTGGGCCTAATACAAACAGTCGCAAAGTCGCTGAGTATGGTGGCAACACTCTGGGATATGGCAGCCGCAGTGTCCTGGGTACTGGCTGGCCGAAAGACCTAGTTAAGGTGAGGGGAAATAAACACACATAGATTGGAAAGTTGCATGGCAAGGCAAAGATTTTATAGATCACATTCAAATTGTTAGTTAATTTACCATTTCATCACAGTACAAATTGTCTAATTTCTAAAATCATTGTAAAATAAATTTCATCATATCACAAAAATGTCTGGAATGCCCAGATTTGTAAAGTTGAAAAGTAGGCTTTGGCGATATCTGAAAGTAATTACCACAATATTTTCTTTTTAAAAATCCATAACAATTGATTACATCGAACCCTGACCCCCTCCCACCACACCAGATACACCCCCCCAAGCAATATATGCAGTCCAGTGCAGTTTTGACTTATTTTCTATTTTATTTTTAGTTTTTATGCTTTTTTAAGATCGACTGTTTTAATGAAAATCTTTAACAGAACTCACGGATTAATAATACTACGACATAATACTGAGTAACCTGGCAACTTGAAAACTGCTTCATCTGTTTTTTTAATGGATGTACTGCAAATGCATGTACATGAGCCACTTCCAGTGTAGCTTTATAGCAAATTGCATGCTAATAGCCCTCCCGGCTGAAGAAATGTAAAACTGGTTCTCTGTCAGTTTCCTAGCACGCCAATTAATGTTTTTTACACAACGCTATCAGGTTACTTGTCAATCATCGATGATATCAGATTTCATCACCCTCACCCAGGCTTATTCGTAAGTTGATGGTACAGTGTAGAGCAGAAGAACTGCCCTCCAACAGTACTAAGTCATAAAGAGTTTAATTCAGTTTTAACAATTCATTATAATGTGTGATCTTCAATAACACCGGTTGCAGAATGCTACATGAATGGGATACTTAAATGATTTTGAAACTGTAGTTACATTAAAGTTGTTAAGTACAGTAAAGACAGTTTAATATAGCCCTGTCCATAACAGTTTCTTACCAGAAACACTAGCATTTGTATTTCCTCTGGTTTAAGTAGGCTTCTCTGTGGTGTTGCTACAGTACTTGATGTGGTGGGGAAAAAAAAGATGCTCTGAATCTCTTCAGTGTGTAGGTTAGGGTTAGGAGCAGCCTTTCAGCCAGAGGAGCCTACAACAGGTTAGCCCACCTTTTGTGTTTAACTCATTAGTATTTCAGCCTGAACTGCTTCTGGCCTTATTGATATGTTACTTTCTTCATGACAGCTTTGAACAGCTATGTTCCTGCCTGATAGTGTTCTTCGTTTTGTTTTTTTTTTCTTTGTTTTTTTTTAATTATTGGAAATATGTTTTGTTCTTTTACTACATCCACAGTATTAGAGTTTTTAGAATTATTAAACCATGCATGGTCTGTCTGGTTGTTTGTTTGTATGTACAGTGTGTATACACAGTCACTGAGCACTTAATTAGGTACACCTACCTTGTATATACCTCTGTCTATTTTATCAGCTCCACTTACCATTTGTGGTCCTACAATTATAAAGTCCACCTGTTTTGAACTTTGTTAACCCTTTTTACTCTGTCCTTTAATGGTCAGGACCCCCATATGACCTCCACAGGGCAGCTGTTATCTGGGAGCTGGATCATTTTCAACACTGCAGTGACACTGATGTGGTGGTGGATTGTTTGTACGCTGTATGCTGGTATGAGCAGATCAGACACAGCAATGCTGCTTGAGTTTCCACTCTATTAGACTCACCTACCTTTTTGGTCCACTTCATAGATGTAAAGTCAAAGACAATAGCTTATCTGTTGCTACACAGTGTGTGTTAGTCATCCTCTAGCACCTCATCAGTGGTCACAGGATGCTGCCCACATGATGCTTTTGGCCGGATATTTTTGGTTGGTAGACTATCCAAAAATATCAACAGTGACGGTCCAACAGTAACACTGAGGTGTTTAAAAACTCCAGCAGCACTGCTGTGTCTGATCTACTCATACCAGCGCAAAACACACTGACACACAACCACCACATCAGTTTCACTGCAGTACTGAGAAAGATCCATCACCCAGATAATACCTGTGATGAACTACAGTTTCTAACTGTTGAACTATAAAGTAAACCTAAATGGACAGTGAGTTTAGATACAGGTAGGCGTACCTAATAAAGTGCTTTGTTATTGTATATATAGTGTAAAGGGCTGTAATTTCTTGCATGGTTCTTGTACAGATGGATATACCCTCAAATTTCTGACTGATTTCAGGTTTCCGTCCAGTTGTTGAATTAAATGTCATAAATGTGAATAATGCTTTATCAACTCTAAACAAAAAAAATAAAACTCTTTACATCACATCTGTAAACTTTTCTGAGAAATATGGAGCAAGCTTACACAGAAACCTAACTGCTGAGCAGCTTCTCATTGCTGGTTTGTTTAATTTTATAGGTGTAGGTTATCATAAGAGCTTATAGATAGAACGCATAACTACTCAAGAAATCAAGTCAGAGTTTATTTATATAAACAACAGGCGTGGTCACAGAGCAGATTTACAGAAAAAAACAGGTCCCCCATGACCCATGAGCAAGCTGATGGTGACAGTGGCAAGGGAAAGAGAGGAACCAAGACTCAAAAGGGGAACCGATACTTCTTTGGTTGACACCTGATAGCAAAACAATAACACGAGCAATATAAACAGAGAATAAGGTTTTACCATTAGTGTAAAATGTTGAAATACAGAAAAGGGGAAACGCAGGTGAAGCAGTTGCTATGATTGAATAGTTCAGGTCTCTGCTTGCAGCAGTATCATCAGAAGGGTCAGTGGCATGCAGGTGAGGCATGCACGGGCTTGTACAGCAGGTGGCTTGAGTCCCAAATATTGGCTGGAAGATTATTCCAAAGCTCGGGGGGCTTTGTACCCCCTGATGTAACTTTTGATAATAAGAGATGAGTTTACTCAGGTACTGAGGAGTGAGGCCATTTAGAGCTTTATATGTCAGTAAAAAAATTTGTGCAGGATTTAAGTGGCAACCAGTGTAGGTTTGATAAAACTGGGCTGATATGGTCAAACTTTCTAGTTCTTGTAAGGACTCTGGCTGCAGCATTCTGGACTAACTGAAGCTTGTTAAGGCTTCTGCTGGAACATCCAGAGAGCAGGACATTATCCAGTAATCCAGTCTTGAGGTAATAAGTGCATGAACTAGCTTTTCTGCATTCTGTAGAGACATTTCTTAATTTGGCAGTTTTGTGAAGATGGAAGAAAGCTGTTCTAGTAATACTGGTTATATGTGCATCAAAGGGCAGATTGATATCACTTGTGACACCAAGGTTTCTTACAGCTGTACTTGATTCAACTGAGCAACTATTAATTTTAAGCATTTAATCACTTTATTTCTAGCAGCTTTTGAACCAAGAAAAAGAACCTCTGTATTGTTCGGAGTTGAGCGGGAGGAAGTTACTCGACATCCAGTTTTCTGTGTCTTTCACACAGTCTTATTAAGTTGAAGTTTATCATTTCGTTTGGTTGATATATACAATTATTTGTCATCACCGTAGCAGTGGAAATTGAACAGATTCTTGTGAACACTATAGTATACTTTGAAAAGGACAGATGATTTGCCATTTACATTCACAAAATGATAGCGATCAGTCAGGTAAGGTCTGAACCAGGAAAGAACTATTCCTGTAACTCCTACAAGGATTTCTATGTAGTAACATAGAGTGGTCAGTCAAGAAATGTAGGCAACAAATAGCTTATTATTATCATTATTATTATTATTATTATTATTATTATTATTATTTTATTGTCTAATATTACGATTATATTTTTTCCTTTGAAACGATAAAGGTATGTTTTAATTTCTTTGTTAGTCCATCGGTACTAGCTGCCTTTTGTCATCTTTATTCCTATGACCAGGCAAAAATGGTGATCATTCATGTTATTATAGTTTTTTGTGTAAATTATGCACGTTGATTATTTAGCAAATGCATTTCAGTAATAATTTATTGTTTTTTTTTTTTCTTATCAACAAAAACAAATATCAAACAAATAAAATTTTTTTAACTTATATGATGTACAGTTAAAGTGCAGCTTTTCCAAAGCACATGCCTCATCTCTCTTTTTTGTCTCTCAGGTGGAGGGAGACACAGTGACGTTCTCCTTCGAAATGAGAAGTGGCCGTGAGCACAACACTCCAGACAAAGCTATGTGGGGTTTCTCCTGCACTGTTCGAGCACAGGCAAGCACATTTTCACAATGTATAGGAAAAGTCTCACTTAATGTTTACAGTTAAATGAATGTCAAATCTTGCCCTACTTGGTTACCTTTTAAGTCAATCATTCAGTGACTCACCTTGGAATACCAGATATTGTTTTTCTTCCACATTTTGGTTCAACTAGAAAATTTTAAAGCAAACTGTAAGCAACAAATAAACCAATAAAAAGCAAATAATATAATATCTGGCCACTTTATTATGTACACCCACCTTGTATCTACATCTGTCATCCACTGTATTAGGTCCAGTTACCATATAGGTGCACTTAGTAGTTTTAAAATTACAGATTGTAGTTCATAGACATCCTGATGTTGCTGGACCCTGTCAGACTTGGGTTGGGTAGAAAACCTCTAGACCAGACAAAGCAGCGTTGCTGAGGTTTTTAAACAAGATGTACACTTGCTGTCAACTTTAAACACACTTACCTTGTTGGTTCACCTTGTAAAGTTAGAGGTGATGGCTTATCTGTTGCTGCACAACAGTTCTGTTACTGAACTTAAGTACTCTGGCCTATCGCTTCTCAGCTGAACCTTTGTTGCTAAGTTTCCGAATCACTGACTTCAAAAAAATATTTACTAAATTATAGAGACTCAGTCCAGCCATTGACACAGGAATGTTTGACCTTATAGACCTCAATACTTTGTGCACAAATGAATGAAGATATGTCCTACACCCATGAAGAATGCTGCTTCTGGTGGGTTTTCAGAGAGCCGCATGTACTTGTTTTAATCAAAAGTGAAATTTCACCACCTATAGGTTCAGATTTTGAAGTCATTTAGGAGGTTCCAGCAGTATTAAGGCAGTGGAAAATAGATTAGAGATAGAAGCTGTAGATTCAGTATTGGTCCATTCTTATCTTTGAGTGCGCAGCAATAAAATGTCCTCTGTGGTTTGGTTTTAATGTTCTCCTCATTAACTCTTATCAAACAATATACAATTAATGGCATTATGTTAAAAAGACTTGTAGACAGTAATATGTGTAAATGCCTTAAATGATTAAGGTAGGGGGAAAAAGAACAAAAAATGTTCATTATAAAAATTAAAACTTATACAAATAAAAAATTTAAAAATTCAAAAAAAAACCTACTACTCCCAGGTCACCATTGTTGCAGTTGCAATGCACTCTGGGTTATGAAGATCAATGGCTGTACTTTCCCATTGCTTTTATCCATTGAGCTAGTGTTCGTTAGCTAAATGTGCACTGTTCAGCCTTTTCAGTTTGAACTACAGCAAGATATTACCTTAAAAAAAAACTGACACGATTGACAGCCTTGACTGCAATATATTCCGTAATAGCTTTTACACAGGCTGCGAGCATCACAGCGGCCATCATGCTAGACAGTTAGTATATAGTTTCAAGTTAGAAAAGCTACAAAATGGAAAATTCCTGGGGCTGGATTCACAAAAAACTTTCTTAAGAAAAAACTTGTGAAGGTTCTAAGAAGTTCATAAGAATGTTCTTAAATGCAATTCTCAAAAAAGACTTAAGAAGTTCTCAAATATTCTCTTAAGATAATTAAGAGAATTATTTTCTTAATTTTCTTAGGAAAATCTTCATTGTCGTCTTATGTAGGCTATGGTGCATTTACCACATACCATAAATGGCACGAGATATGTTTTGAATCTGAAAGATTTTCTTTCTTAAGACACTTTCGTGGATCCGGATCCTGCTCTGTTGTGCAGTTTTAGGCGCATAATCAAATTAGCTTGGGGGCTGTATTTCAGCAGCAGGACCCTGAGGAGGATCATATAGTCTAGACTAAGCTGGTTTGGCCTCTTTCAAACAGTTAATAGCTAAGCGTTTAATGTTGTCTACGTAGGCAACTTGTAACACATATACAATACTTCTACCTGACCACCAGTGGCCTCCCTGAGGTAACTTGAGTTGGTAATTACAGCCTATTTTGTGTCTGCACTCGACAGGGAAAGTCACTAATTTGTGTAGGGATAGTTCAACTTCAGTTGTGATTTTTTTTTTTTAGTTAGGAGCAGAGGAAACAGAGAAACCTGAATTTCTTAACAGGTGCAAAAATACTGCAGGCTGTGGATAAGGATAAATTTCACTCGTTTCAGTCGTTTAGTTTCTACGACAGCGTTATAGGGCCACTGTTAATAAAAATAAAAACAGTAGACTTCGAGAAAGAAGTCATAATATTTTGAAAAAAAAAATTACTATTTTGAGAATAAAGTCATAATATTTCGAGAAAAAAAAAATCTGAATATTTCAAGAAAAAAGTTGTAATGTTTCGAGAATAAAGTCGTAATATTTCGAGAATAAAGTCATAATATTTTGAGGATAAAGTGGGCTAACTGTAGGGGGGCTGCCATAACGCGTTGGGGTCTTGGTTGCTGTACTGGCACGCAGGAGTTCCACTCACTCCTGTCTCTTTGTGGATCGATCATTTTGATTTATCATTCTCGATGTCTGTAAAACTTCATGCCCTTATTGAATGGCACAGAGATGTAGCCACCGATAGCCATGTGGACGACACTGTCTGTGATTCTCCTTCAACAAAACAGACAGTTTCCTCTGAGTCCGTCTGGTTCTTTATTCTTAATAAACACAGTTTCTTGCGCAGCCGTTTCAGCCATCTCTTATACTAATAACACTCTGGTGTTGATGTGCCAGGAGAGACAGGGAGAGTATTTCTTTATGGGTGAAATCGATATGAAAGCATAACTCCATCAACTCCTCAACGCCACTCATTTTAACAAGAGGAGTTTCCCTTTACAAATCCTTTGGTCACAATATTGCAACCTTTCCTGGTATTAATGCCACGTTAGTGTCGTAATTCTACGACTTTTTTTCTCTAAATATTACATCTTTTTTCTCAAAATAGTATGACTTTTTTCTCAAAATAGTACAACGTTTTTCTGAAAATAGTACAACTTTTTTTCTTGAAATATCATACCGTACGACTTTATTCTCAAAGTTTACTATTTTTATTTTTATTACCAGTGGCCCTAAAACGTAAGTTTCCGCTTGTGTTTGTTTTTTTGTTTTTTTTTCTTTTCTTCAAATCCCCTCTTTTTATTTACCTCGATAGCCACCTTCCTCAACTCTCACTCACTGTTTAAACACCTCAAACTCCATCTCACAGCTGATCGGGGGCCAGGAGTTATGATGCGCCTGCAGTTATGAACCCTCGATTGACCGAATCAAGTGCTAGTATGTATTTTACAAAGGCTGCTCCGCGGACAGCCGCTTCTAAAGTGCTAACGGCTTACAGCTTAGGGTTTCCGGGTAAAACTCGCGCTTGTGAAATTTGGTTCCGCTTCACGTTCATCAGTCTTCGCACATACTGCATATTCTCTGTAAGACTACATGCACCAAACTGTCACGGTGCAGACGTTGCCTTTAGGGACGAATACAGGTACCGTTACACCCCTAGTCTCTTGTGAGTGGTGTTCAGTATAGCTCTGCTTGTCCACATGCATCTTCATGTGCTTAACATAAGTTTTCTTATTGTCCTGCGTCTGAAATTACACACAAATGCAATGTAGTGTGGCACCTCACTAAATCTGATTTTACATAATTGTCATTTTTGTCCACAAGATGTATTAGGTGCGATTAGTTTTAACTTTGTTGCACTTTAATGTATGTGTTCATATTGATTGTGTTCATATTGATCTTGTGCAATTCAGGAGTCTTCGGAGGATGTTTCTGGTGGTCTTCCATTTCTTGCTGACCTGGCTTTGGGTCTGTCAGTTCTGGCATGCTCCATGTTACGCATCCTTTACAATGGCCCTGATATCACACGAGAGGAAGAGTCTTGCCACGACCTGCTCTGCTCTAAACTCCTGCAAAGGTTGGCTAACCTGAAAGTGCATTTGTTGTTTTAATGTAAACTAAATGTGTTTCTTAGCTATTATGTTTTTTTTTTTAATGTGTGAAGCCTTATTTGCTTTTGTATTTGGCTTTTTAATTTGGTTTTATATGCCTCAATCTCAGATGCCAGTGGCAGGTGGAAGCCAACGGTGCTATCTCTCCTGCTCTTACCCCTTCTCCCTCTCCCCTCCCACTTACCATTGACGAGGACCGGGAGTTCACCTACCCCACAGATGTGCTCATGCCCCCACCAGGCCTCATGCCTGGTGTCTGCTGTGATCTGCCACGTATCCGCCTGCCCCCAGGCATAATGGGCCGCCTGAGGGAGCTTTCAGGCAGGGCCCGCCCTCAGTTCCGCCCCAGCATCAAGTAAGCACAGATGAAAGACTCTTTGGGGTCATTTTGCCATTTATTATGAGGTCACCCTCACTGCCAAACCTGGCCTTTCATTAGATGATAGCAAATATTAGGGCCAGTGTCCAGTACAGTTTGGTGATGTCTCTGTAACTTACATACCAAACTTGGTAATTCAAAGATGAGTTGAACCAGGTATGTTTGAGCAGGCCCTCTAAAACCGGATTTAAATAGCACTAATTTTCATGTCCTCCTAATAATTCCTAATTAGATTTTTTTTTTCACACTTTCTTTTTTAATTCCTGCTAGTGTTTATTCCATACATATCTGTCTCAGTGTTGACATTTTGAATTTTATTTCTCAATTTCTTTCATTCTTGTTCTAGAGAGGTTATCCGACCAGATGTAATGGAGGAGGTGATCGTGTCATGTGTGATAAAGCACTTGGGTTTGATAGATGCACTGCAGTCTCTGGTGAACTTTCAGTATAGAGAGGAGCATGGAGAGGAGCATGACCTGCTATGCAAGATCATGGCTGAGACCTTCAAGAAGATTAATGCCATGGAGAGACAGTTGCAGGTATACACAGGCAAGGGTTTGTATTGTCATGAAAATCAAAGTAATTTTTCAAATCAAATTTGGTTTTCCAGGCTTGGAAAAGTCATGGAAAATAGTAAGTGCTGGAAACATCATGTGATTTCCCAGATGTTGAAATTATTTGAAACACTACAGAGTCTAGATGGCAAAAAACACAGCAAAACCTGAGACATCATTGCTGCTTCTCACACTGAGACTTGCATGACTAGCACCTTAACTGAGAGTCACAGCTCTTGGTCTGCTGCAGCTACATTAAGATGTGATGAGCGAACTACTGAGATGCTCTTAATACGTGTATATATATATATATATATATATATCACTATGACTCCTTGTTTCTACATTCATTGTCCATTTTATCAGTTCCACTTACTATAAAGGTGCACTTTGTAGTTCTACAATTACAGACTGTAGTCCATCTGTTTCTCTGCATACTTTGTTAGCCCTCTTTTACCCTGTTCTTCAATGGTCAGGACCCCCATGGACCCTCACAGAGTAGGTACTATTTGAGTGGTGGATCATTCTCAGCACTGCAGTAACACTGACATGGTGGTGGTGTGTTAGTGTGTGTTGCTCTGGTCTGAGTGGATCAGACACAGCTGTGCTGCTGGAGTTTTTAAACACCTCAGTGTCACTGCTGGACTGAGAACCAACCAAAAATATCCAGCCAATCGTGTCCTGTGGGCAGCGTCCTGTGACCACTGATGAAGGACTAGAGGATGACCAACACAAACTGTGCAGTAGCAGATGAGCTATCGTCTCTGACTTAACATCTACAGGGTGGACTGATAAGGTAGGGATGTCTAATAGAGTGGACAGTGAGTGGACACAGTGTTTAAAAACTCCAGCAGCACTGCTGTGTCTGATCCACTCGTACCAGCACAACGCACATTAACACACCACCACCATGTCAGTGTTACTGCGGTGCTGAGAACAACTGTCTATGTTAAATTAGTGCTAGGTGGTGATAAAAATTCAATATAATGTTTTTATTAATGTTTTTATTTATTTTATTTATATCACAGTATCACACACATCAGATGATATAGAGGTTTAGTATTAATAATTTAATGAGCTCATGCTTCCTGAGTTTCCTCATTTTTATGGATTTTAAGCAATGACTTAGAGTTAACTGTTTGCATACCACAAGTAAAGTGCACAAAATAAAATCTTGCTTATGTATCACATACATTGCTAAATTATTACTAAAACAGGAAAGCAATATCGTATGGTATATTAGTATTGTGGTATCCTGGTACAGAAGTTATGTCTGGCAGCACACTGCTTAATGTTTGGTGTGGAATTTCATTCATTTTATGCCATGAAAAATTCACGGAAAAGACATAGAATTCCACTGTTTAACAAGGACACAAAGTGTTAATCATGCAAAGCAGCAGCATGCAGGTTGTTTTCACTATAGTTTCTAGAGTGCCCGTAGCTCCCCTTTGTGGACAATCTTGTTAAATGTAAGTGGAGTGAGTATGTGAGTGAGTTATAAGCCGTGTCCATAAGGTGCTACAAAGTGTATGAACCCTTTGTTTGTGTGCATGTGTGTGGCTGAATATAAAACAACTGTGTAGAGCTGGGGTGGGGAACTAAGGGCCGGAGTCCAGCACAGTTTGGTGATTTCGCTGCTCTAACATTTCAACTAAAATCACTATACTGTGCAGGAATTTAGATTTTATTTATTTATTTGTTTTATTGTGTCGTGTCTAATTGTTTAATGGCTGTGTTTCAGAGTGTGGCTGAACTAGAACAGAAGTGGCAGAGTGAGGTGGATGAGGCTCAGCAAGGCAAGCTAGAGAACAACACACCCTTTTTTTATGATTACCACTTTTTTGAGGTAAGTCACAATTATGAAAGCCATGTAAATCATTTGGCAGTATTCTGATAATACCACTAATAAATTAAAAAAAAAACTGAATGGAAAAATGTTGAAGGGCCCATAACCTTTGTTTTTCTAGAATTTTTTTTACCCTGAGGTCCACATGTTATGTTGTGTAGTTTTATGCATCAACATTTATAATTGGAAAAACAAGTATCTCCAAAGTGGTAACTTTCTGTACTTTTAATGTAAGTATGTGTAAAGAGATTTGAGTCTAAGCAATTTTGGAGCATTTCTATTGGTCCATTTATTGTGAAATTTTCTCACGATGTAAAGGGCTGAGCCTAAATAATGTAGATAAATAAAAAGCGGAGATACTGGCTTTTTCTTGTTGTTGGGTTTTTGTATTGTTTTGTTTTGTTTTGTTTTCTTGACACCGAAAATATGGAAATGAACTCCTATACCTCAGTCAGAAAGCACTCTCAAAAAAAACAAGCCTGAAACACTCCTTGTAAAAGCCTGAACAGGCAGAAAGGCTGAATAAGCCTGCGATCTGGTTCATAAGTATTTGGACAGTGACACAATTATTTAAAATTTTGCCTCCGTACACCACCACAACTGATCTGAAATGAAGCAGTCAAGATGTGATTGAAGGGCAGACTTGCACTAACCGTTTAAGAATGCAGCTTTTTTGAATGAAGCAATCAAGATTTGATTGAAGGGCAGACTTGCATTAACCGTTTAAGAATGCAGCTTTTTTACATAGTTCTTCCACTTTCACAGGCTAAAAAGTAAACAGATTAACACAATTGTTAATACAAAGATTATTTTTCGTACTTTGATGTAAATCCTTTGCAGTCATTGGCTGCGTGAAGTCTGGGACACATGGATGTCAGCAAATATTCCTCATTTGAGATGATTTGCCAGGCCTTTACTGCAGCCACCTATGCTGTTTTTTGTCTTCTTTACTGCAGCCACCTATGCTTTTTTTTTGTCTTCGGAAAAAGAATGCCTAATTGGGTTGAGGTCAGGTGACTGACTCAGCATTGCATTTCTTTGCCTTTAGAAACTCTTGGGTTGCTTTTGTGGTATGTTTTGGGTCATTGTCTATCTGTAGTGTGAAGTCCCATTCTATCAGTTTTGCACGATTTGACTGACTCTGAGCAGAAAGTATAGCTCTGTACCCTGCAGAATTCATCCTGCTACTTGTATCAGCAGTCACATCATCAGTAAACACCACTGACCCAGTTCCATTGGCAGCCATACATGTCCATGCCATAGCACTGCCTCCATGATGTTTGAGAGATGATGTGGTATGCTTCAGATTATGAGCCCTTCCTTTCCTTCTACATACTCTTCTCTTCCCATCATTGCGGTACAAGTTAATCTGGTTTTCATCTGTCCAAAGAATTTTATTCCAGAACTGGGCAGGCTTGTTTAGGTCTCAAAGTCTAATCTGGCCTTTTGGTCTTTGAGTGTTACCAGTGGTTTGCATCTTAAAGTAAAGTCTCTGTATTTACAACCCCGTTTCTAAAAAAGTTGGAACGCTGTGAAAATGTAAATAAAAACAAAATGCAATGATGCAAATCATTTAAACCTTATATTTCATTGAAAATGCTTCAAAGAAAATAAGTCAAATGTAAAATAGCACAAGAACTTTTGCTTTTCGTCATCTACGGTGCATAATAACAATAAAAGATTCAGAGAATCTGAATAAATCTCTGTATGCAAGGGACAAGACCAAAAACCGGTATTTGCTGGCCATGATCTTTGGGCCCTCAGACAGCACTGCATTAAAAACACATGATTCTGTAGTGGAAATCACTGCATGGGCTCAGAAAAACTTCTGAAAAACACTGTCTATGAAAACAGTTCGGGGCTGCATCTGCAAATGCTAATTAAATCTGTTAAAACGCAAAGAAGAAATCATATATTAACAGGATCCAGGAATGCTGCCACCTTCTCTGGGCCCGAACGCATTTAAAGTGGACTAAGGGGAAGTGGAAAAGTGTTCTGTGGTCTGACAAATCAACATTTGAATTTCTTTTTGGAAATCATGGACACTGTGTCCTCAAGTCAAGTCAAATTTATTTGTATAGCGCTTTTTACAACAGATGTTGTCACAAAGCAGCTTCACAGAAATCCATTAAGGACAAAGTTTTAACATGAAATGCAAATCCTCCAGGTGAGCAAGCCAGTGGCGACAGTGGCAAGGAAAAACTCCCTCAGAGCTAGGGAAGAAACCTTGGGAGGAACCAAGGCTCACAAGGGGGGACCCATCCTCCTCTGGTTAAACTACCTACAAAATTATTATGCTACTAATATTAATAGTAGTAGTAGTAGTAGTAATAGTTAGGAGTCCATGAAAACTTCAGTGTAGGGTGGGCAGCTAGTCCAAGGCAAGTGGCGGTAGCTGGGCAAGTGGCGGTGACTGGGGCATGGGTAACTGGTCTGAAGCGGGTAGCAGGAGAGCTCGACAGACAATCATCCATCAGTGTCCGGCCGGACAGGTGGGCAGTCGTTTACTCGGAAAAAGGTAGGGAGATGGAATTAGTTTTGTTCTGTATGGGTGTATGTATAATATTATGTAAAACATTTCCAGAGTGTGGCTAATGACTCCGGCAGATCTGACTCCACCGTCCACAAACCTGAGTGATCGCGTGCGAGCGACGGGACGACAGCACCAGCGTCTCAGTTTACTATAATTCCCTGCGTCCATGGACCCCTGGATCTGCTGCCTTTATCTAAGGGGAAACATTAACTACCAAAAGCTAAACTAAACAAGTGAGTTTTCAGTCTAGATTTGAAGATTGCGACTGAGTCTGAGTCCCGAACATTTTCTGGAAGATCATTCCAGAGTTTGGGGGCTTTATAAGAAAAGGCTCTTCCCCCAGCTGAAGCCTTCTGAATTCTGGGAACTATTAAAAAGCCAGCACTCTGTGATCTGAGTAATCGTGGTGGCTCGTAATGGGAAATAAGGTCTTGCAGGTACTCAGGAGCGAGCCCATGTAGGGCTTTATACGTCAATAAAAGAATTTCAGCTGCTTAACAGTCCAGAATCTACTTTGTCATATTTTTCATCCGGGCTAAAGACCACTCAGCTTGATATCAGTGCACATTTCGAATGCCAGTATTCATGATGGTAGAGGGGTGTATTAGTGCACATGGCATGGGTGACATGCACATCTGTGAAGGTACCATTAATGCTGAACCTGCCAACCAGATGACATCTTTTTCAGGGGAGGCCTTGATTATTTCTGCAAGACAATGTCAAACCATAGTCTGCATGTATTACAGCAGCATTGCTGCGTATTAAAAGAGTGAGGGTGCTAGACTGGCCTGCCTGCAGTCCAGACCTGTCAACACTGAAAACATCTGGCACATTATAAAATGAAAAATATGACAAAGTAGATTCTGGACTGTTGAGCAGCTGAAATTCTGTGTTAAGCAAAAATGGGAAAGGATTTCACTTTCAAAACTACAGCAGTTGGTCTCCTCTGTTCCCAAATGCTTACAGAGTTTGTTAAAAGAAAAGGTGATGAAACACAGTGGTAAACATGCCCCCGTCCCAACTTTTTTGAAACATGTTGTTGGAATCAAATTCAAAATGGGCATATATTTTTCAAAAAACAATGAAATTTCTCAGTTTCAACATTTGATTTGTTGTCTTTGTACTATTTTCAATTAAATGTAGGGTTTAAATGATTTGCACATCATTGAATTTTTTTATTTACATTTTGCACAGCGTCCCAACTTTTTTGGAAATGGGGTTGTACATTCATGAAGGTGTCTCTTGATTGTAGACTTTGATGTTATGCCAACCTCCTCTAGAATGTCCTTGACATGACTAGATGTTGTGAAAGATTTTTTCTTCACCATGGAAAGATTTTTGCAATCATTCACTTCAGTTGTCTTTAGTGGTCTTCCAGGGCTTTTGGTGTTGCTGAGCTTGCCATTGCATTTTTTTTAAAAATGTGCCAAAATGTTGATTTGGCCACTCCGGAAGTTTCTGCTATCTCTCTGATAGGTTTGCTTAGTTTTTTTCAGCCTAATGATGCCCTCCTTCACTTGCATCGACAATTCTTTGGACTGCATATTGAGATTGCTGTAATTAGTAAAAAAGTTAGTGCAGTATTTTTGTTAAACTCCTGGAAAGTCTATACTTAAATCACATCACTTACACAATTCAATCACACAATTCGTTGTGGTGGTGTACAGAGGCAAAATTACAAAAATTGCGTTACTGTCTATATACGTTTGGACCTGATTGTATGTAAATTTGTTTTTTGTGACCTCACAGAAACAGTTCATTTGAAATGGGCTGTATTTGCAACTTGGTTTCCATATACAGTCATGTGAAAAAATGAGGGCACCCCATGAAAACCTTGTCTTTATGTCTTTAACATATTTAAACATATGGACATTTGAACAATATTGAGCTTTGAAAGTAATACAATTAAACAAATAAAACTAAAGAAATGTCCTTGAATAACTTGTAAAATAGAAATGCAGTTTTCTTGTGAGGAAGAAGTTAGGACACCCCCACATTTATTAATACTTAAAATACCTAAAATAAGAATTAGGTGCACCACATCAGCTGCAAATTATTGGAACATCATTAGAGAGGATTTTAGAGGAGCCCGTCTTATTTAAACCTCATACATTCTAATACTCATCAAACCTCAGACATTTTGTTTGGTTTGCTCTTGATTGTTGAAGTGTGGTATCACCATAGCTTTCAGAAGGTTATAGATGCATATGATGATTTGATTTAAAATATCTAAAAACAATTAGATATTAGATATCAGCCATTCCACTCCATTCATAGTTTGACTTGCATGAGGTGTGTGCAAGGAGGAAAGCTTTGAGAAAAAAAAAACAAATTAGGGCAACACTAAAGTTTGCCAGAGAACACCTAGACAAAGACCAGGACTTCTGGAACAATGCACTTTGGACAGATAAATACAGGTGATCCAGATAAAACCAAGTTGAATTATTTGTTCATAGTAACAGAAGACATGTTTGACGCAAACTAAACACAGAGATACACAATGTCTGGGACCAGTACACGGTTATAGGAAGCGTATTATTGAGGTCATTTCAGTCAAAGGGGAAATACCAGCTATTAGAGCATAAGGTGTAGGTATTGGCATTTTTGTTCAAATTGTTGTTAAAATTAAGATGGTCAGAATTGTCATTGTTTTTGTGATGCAGTTACATCAATTTTATCTTATAGATAATGTTTGAAAGAAGATCAGATATGTCTATATTTCTTAATAGGGAACTAAACATTTTGACACATGACTTTGTGCACTGTATGTAGTGGGGAGTGAGCTGCGTGATTTGAAACTTACTATGTTCACTCACTAAATCAAGCTTATTTCAAAACAGTGAGTAAAATTCATGGACCATTTGAAAACTGGGGTTATTCAGGGATATCACTTGGCAGCCTGTGTTTGACAGAATTAACAACACGTGATCAAAAGTGATCAAAGGGGTGAGGTGAAATTGGAGAATTGGTCAATACATTTTTTATTATTTTTTTTTAACAGAGCAAAATGAAGGAGCTTGAACTTCTTTGTTCTCTAAAGGAGGTTCCTTTAGACTGGAGTGATCTGGAGAATGTAGTGATGGCATTAAGGTAAGATTCAAAACTTTAAATCAAGGATTTTAAATGATACTTTTCATTTGATTCTTTAAAAAAAAAAGAAAAAAAAACTTTTCCTCTAGTGAGCTCCTGGCATTGTTTTGTGCTGTCCCCTGGTTAACTGAAAATTTGATAATGTTTTGGGATCACAGTATGTTACTTTCTAACTTTAGTTCTAAGTTAATCTCTGACAAGTTCAAGATAAGATCTTACGACATCTGATCTATGTTAGAAAATCCAAAACTACTCAATTGAAGTCAATAATCATTTGTTCTGTCTGCTGCAAAGCAACTGATGTATGCGAGATATAAGTTAGGTTTTATATTTCCTGATCACCAGTGGTGGTACTTACTGAGTGGATATTGCCCTGCATTTGCAGCTTCAGACTGAGGGATGCATACCAAATGAGTCAATATGTGACTTCGTGTGCATGTGGTGTCACTGAGGCTGTGTCATCCCGTGACACACTGCAGCCTTCCTCCATTCTCTCCTTGCTATCAGACCAACCTTGCAGCCCAGTGACCCCATATCATAATGCCAGAGTTTTTAAACTTTTTTGTCCTCTACTACCTGTTGTCAGCGACTCCTCGTCTGACCACACCTGAGCATCTCAGTTTAGGCTGGGACCACCGAGGATTGCAGCTCTCCCCTTACGTTGAAAGAGCTCGATCTTGGGGGGGAAAAGCATAGCCACCAGACTAGCGGAGCTTTCAGCTAAGTATCTCAGGCTGCACAAGCCCCAGCTCCCATATTGGAATTGGAAATTTTTTACACTATGGCGAGTTAGCGTGCCTTGGCTGCCGTGGTGCTCGGACTTTGTGCCGGCCAGACAGCGTGTATTCCCAGGGCTGCTGCATACAGTAAACTGCCATACTGGCCCTTTACTGTGGCAGGAAGTGAAGCCACATTGCTAGCGCTGCTGTGCACTGCGAAGAAAGCAGATAAGTGGCCCCCAGATGGAGTGGGGGAGATGCATAAGAAAAACTGGTCTGCTGTATTACTTAAACAGATGTACTTAGCTCAGCTAATAACCTTTTTAATAGAACTTACTAACAAGTTTAAAACTCTCAGATTATGGCAATCCTTACAGCTTCTCACGTCCAGGACAATGATGGGTCAGTTGCCCTCATGCAGAGAGGTAGTTACAACAGATGCATCTACCACAGGACGGGGTGCAGTATGGTGGCACAGGTGGACTCAGGTCGATTAGTCAGTGGACACTGGCTAGGAAAATATCAGCCACCTCGAGTTGTTAGTGGTGAAACTCATGACCAACGTGACAATGGCAGTCTCGCAGCACACATTGAGCCTGGTCAGTATGATTTGGGGCAAATTTGGACAGGTACACATGGACCTGTTAGCTGTGGTTCTCAGAATGGGACACTCTGGCCCATGACTGGCCAAGGCAGCTGCTGTATGCGTTTCTTCCACTGCCACTCATTCCAGTTGTCCTAGACAGAGTTCAGAGAGAAGATTATTGAGTCCTCTTGGTAACACCATGGTGGCCAAGACAGCCATGGTTTCCTCTGCTTCTGTCTTTATTACAGGGCCTTCCGTGTATGGAAGGACCTTCACTCCCAGCTGGAGGGCCAGGTGTAGCAACCACGACTGGAGTTTGTCCAGCTATGGCTGTGGCCCTTAGGGCTACCACAGATCTGTCACCATGCTCTCCTGGAGTCAGAAATAGGAGTCTTAAAGCTCCTTCAGCCCGTGCCTTATATAAGGATAGGTGGCAGGTGTTCATGGGCTGGTGCTCAAAGAACCAAGTAGACTCACTGTCATGCTTTGCGGAGACAGTGCTTTTGTTCCTGCAGGAGCTACTGGGGATGAAGAGATCTCCCTCTACTTTGAAAATCCACGTTACTTCTCTCTCTTGCCATCTGGCTCCAAGCCACAGCCCATCTCTGGGCTTCCACATGTTGATTGTGGCCTACTTGAATAAGGCATAGAGACTTCCTCAGCCCCACTTGACCTTGACGCTGCCCTGAGAGCCCCCTATTGTGCTGGACTACATATGCAGCGTTCCGCTGGTGCAAACTGTTGGTACAAAACCTTGTGGCTATCACTGAAAACCATGCTATTGCTCATGTGAGAAAGTGCATATGAGAGCCACACGCATTATAAGTCAGCTCCCTGTGTCTGCAGTGGGTTACAGACAATGGGAAAGTGATGTTGAGGCCAAAGCCGACATTCTTAGTCCTGGGTTTATTAACTAGTCCATCAGCCTGGTGGCATATACTGACCAGTCAGACCCCAGGAGACAGCTTTTATCTCCTGTCAGGGCTTTGAAGTGCTACCTCTGCTGCTGTGAAGGTGCGGAAGACTGTTCATATGCTTTACGGAAGCCAAACATGGCTCTCCACTCTCAAAGTAGCGTCTTTCACACTGGCTAATGAAGGTAATTGAGCTGGCTTACACAGCTGCCATTCGTTCATTGCCCGCTCCTGCTACTTGCCACACCATCGGGGGAGTCTCCACCTCCTGGCCTGCATTGAAAGGGGTTCCTATTGTTGAAATCTGGGAAGCATCCACATGGTCTACACCCTGCACTTTTTCTCAATTCTGTAAAGTTGCAGCGTCATCAGACCTGATACCAGCTGTCCTGTCCGATCACATGGACTGAATCTGATCCTCGTGACTGTGTGGGCAAAAGTAAATGTGTACAGTCATATTCAGATTCTGATACTGTAACTATTTACTCACTGTTAACAGTGTGTATCTAATAATCTGAAGTGTGTGTGTGTGTGTGTGTGTGTGTGTGTGTGTGTGCGTGTTACAGAGAAAAATTTTTTCAGGAGATCAACTCCACACAGCAGTCTAGAAGTACTGTCCCTCTGGCCAAAACCAAAGCCTTAGTTAAGAGCTTGATGAATCGCTCAGAGCTTCTCCTGCATGTTACCATTGCTCCACACTGCAGGAGCCTCACCTCAACACCGACAAGCACACCAGGTAATTGGTTACCTGTAAAATTATATAAAAATACATACACAAACACACACTTTCACTGAACTCTACATCTCACCATCACATCTGAAGATGTTGACAAACACTGTGTGCAACAAATATATAAACTCACTGAACTGTATTGAACTTAGTGGTGAACAATGAGGCATGAAGTATTATAATCATGATACATTTTCATGATACATAATATGCATCACTATTGAGTATTAATGAGAGAAAATAGGTTGAAACTGACTAAATAGAACCTGTACTGCCACATGTAAAAATTATATAATAATAATAATAAATATAGCCGCAAGCGGCAATGAGCGGGTCCAAGCACACATAAGCCCAAGAAGCTCTCATGCACTTTGAGCCAAAAGGCCCAATCAGGCCTTATGCAGTTTGGGCCTTCGAGGCAGAGAGGCTGAAAAGAAGTCTGAGTTAATCAAAAGGCCTTCATTTGTCATGAACAATAAGCAGGGGGTTTTAAACCTAATATATGTTTACATTTCAATTTACTGATCTACAAAGGATTAAAGAAATACATGATTAATGGTACAGTTTCTGTCTTTGTTGCGTTTACGAAGTATTTAGTTTCTTCATGTTAAAGGCTTTGATAAGCATGCCATAAACAGACCCAATGGACCCATAAGGGCCTTTTAGCATAAAGGACCTCAGTGAAAGTGGGTCAGAATTGGTCCAAAGGTCTTCAAATGTTATGAATATTGATCAGGGACCTTTGTCAAAGATTTTCATTGAGTTTTGTTCAGATTGACCTTTTGACCTTGGTATTACAAGCTGTAGTCTTTACATGAATAATTCAAAATACCAGAAAAGAAGCACAATTTATGATATAACATGTAATTACAAAGTCAATTAGATCAGTGAACTGAATCAAATGACACCTTATTTATCTGTAGACTTAGTAGTATTGTTGTAACAACATTTTTAAGGATTTTAGGTGTTTTTGAGTGCTAAAGCGCCCCCTATTGGCCAATTAGGATCAAATTTTGCAAGCCACATCAGAGTCTCAATGTATAAACAAACTTAAAGTTTTGAGATGTTCGGACCAAGGACTGATGAGTTATAGCAATTTAAGCTAGCAATGCTATGGCCGCAATGATTTAGTGAAGGAGGGAGACCACAATGAGAAAAAATGGAAAATGTGCTGGATAATTATTTACTTAGAGAGGCTACAGAGTATTTCTAGACTAGGTTTGAGAAGGTAGCTTCAAATTCCACGGAGTAGTTCGAAAAGTGCTAATTTCAAACATTTGAGGATTGAAAAAAAACTAAGCACTTTTTTAATAGACTTCAAATGACAAAATGGTTTTGGAACACTGCACTGCATGAGGTCATCTAAGTTATTTGACCAAAAATAACAATCTGTACAAGATATACTTGATTTTCTGTAATAGCGCCCCCCAGTGGCCAAATATTTTGAAACTTCACAGGTTGTTAGAAGGTGGTGAGATAGAGATAGATATCAAGTATCATAAGGATTGGCCACTGCTAAGCCTGTCAAATGGCTGCTGAAAGCTTATTGGCCGATGGCGGCCACAAATTTAAATATTTCAAAGTGTCCTGAAAGATTCACTTATAGTCTTTGGAATAGATGGTACTTGCAAAGTTTCAACTTGATCGGATGTACGGATGCTGAGAAACAGCTACATAGCATTTACAGCGCCCCCTAATGACTTATGCACACAAAAATGAATAGGTGTCCTCAGAGTCTCTTTAGGAATAAGCCTGTCAAGTTTCAAATTTTTTGGGTGAAGGATTCTCGAGTTACAGATTTTTCAATTAAATAAGAATTATTTTGATTTTTCCAGAAGAATTAATTTGCATATGGCAGCCATTTTGAGTAAAGAATTAAAAATGTGCTGGATAATTATTGAGGTTCAGGCTCTTCTGAATTTTGTGACACCAAAAACATGAGGATTGGATGAAAACTGTAGGACTAGTTCACAAAAGTAGGTTTCGCATATTATGCAAATTAGCTCAAAATCTAAGTGGGCGGAGCTTAATGGTCCAAATTACAAAGTTGTTTTCTTGGACCCAAGGAATCAGGAAAAAAATATGTCATGTCTGGCAAAAATCTGGGGAAGGAATTATGGAGCCAAACGCGTTGTGTTGCGCAATAGCGCCACCTTTAGGCCGATTGGGCTCATTTCGCGAACCTGAGTAGCGGGAGGGACTACTACCTATTGACCAAGTTTCATGTCTCTAGGACTTACGGTTTGGTCTGGGCGATTCGTTTTATCGGAGAAAAAGAATAACAATAATAATAATAATAAATATAGCCGCAAGCGGCAATGAGCGGGTTCAAGCATGCAACAGCAGCATGGGCCCTTCTGCAGGTTTAGCCCATTAGGACTAAAAAGGCCTCAAGCTTCTGGTTTCGCCCATTAGGCCTAAAAAGGCCTCAAGCCTTCTATTATATTAGGCCTAGAAAGGCCTCAAGCCTTTGTATGGTAAGTCTTTGTATAGTGAAATCTTTGAATGAATAAGTCAAAATAAAAAACAAGCAGTGCAATTTTTGACATAACATGTAATTAGAAAGTTGTTCATCTTAGTGGACTGAGTCACATGGCACCAATTGTTTATATGTGGGCCTTGTAATAACAGTGTAATAGCATTTTTATTGATTTTTCAGTGTTTTTGAGTCCTGAAGCACCCCCAAAGGCCAATCTGGACCAAACTTGGCATACTCCATTAGAATGCACAAAACATATGCGCACAAAAATCGAATGGCTACCTCAGAATGGTCTACTGACATTGCCTGTGAAGTCTGAAATTTTTTGGCTGAAGGATTCTACAGATTTTGAATTAATTCTGAATTAATTTGAATTTATCCAGAAGGGTTCATTTGCATATGGCAGCCATGTTGTATGGAAAACTTGAAATGTTTTTGATAATTATTGACTTTGAGGCTCTTCTGAATTTTTTGACACTAAAAGCATGAGGATTGGTCAAAAATTGTAGGACTAGTTCGCAAAAGTAGGTTTCGCATATTTCGCAGTATTGCGAAAAATCTAAGTGGGCGGAGCTAAATAATCAAAATAGCCAAAAGGTTTATTTGGACCCATAGAATCAGGAAAAAAATATGGCTTGTCTGGCAAAAATCTGGTTTAAGAGATATAGACCTAAACGCGTTGGCCTTCGCTGTAGCGCCCCCTTGTGGCCGACAGGACTGATTTCTTGCGCCTGAGTAGCGGGAGGGACTACTACCTATTGACCAAGTTTCAAGTCTCTAGGACTTACGGTTTGGGCTGTGCGTTCCGTTTCAGGGCAGAAAAATAATAATAATAATAATAAGAAGAAGAAAAATCCGCACAATTCCAATAGGGTTCTACGCACTTCGTGCTTGAACCCTAAATATAGCCGCAAGCGGCAATGAGCGGGTTCAAGCATGCAACAGCAGTATGGGCCCTCCTGCAGGTTTAGCCCATTAGGCCTAAAAAGGCCTCAAGCTTTTGGTTTAGCCCATTAGGCCTAAAAAGGCCTCAAGCCTTTGTATAGTAAGTCTTTGTATAGTGAAATCTTTGAATGAATAAGCCAAAATAAAAGACAAGCAGTGCAATTTTTGACATAACATGTAATTAGAAAGTTGTTCATCTTAATGGACTTAGTCACATGGCACCATGTGTTTATATGTGGGCCTTGTAATAACATTGTAATAGCATTTTTATTGATTTTTAAGTGTTTTTGAGTGCTAAAGCGCCTCCAAAGGCCAATCTGGACCAAACTTGGAATACTCCATTAGAATCTCAATTTGTATAAATACTCAAAGAATGGACATGATCTGACCAATGACTGTTGAGTTATAGCTAATCAAGCTAAGAATGCCATGTATGCAGGAATTAATTAATTTATCCACATGACCCTGAGTAGAAAAGTCAAAATGTTTTTGATAATTATTTACCTAGAGATGCCAAAGAATTGTTCTAGACCAACTTTGAAAAGATAGGATCAAAATCCAGAGACTAGTTCAAAAAGTATGGTTTTCAAACATTTATCGATTACAAAAAAACTATGCAGTTTTGTAATAAATATGTATTTGCAAAATTGTTTGTCCCATTGTAATACAATAGGCTTTTGGTGAAAATTGTAATAATATAGTAATAACATGTAATAATATGTAAATTTTTGAAATAGCGCCACCCAGTGGTCAAATCTTTTGAAACTCGATTGATTGTTAGAAAGTGGCTACATATAGACACCAGTCAAGTTTCGTCATGATTGGTCAATGTTAAGCCTGTCAAAAGGCCTGCTGAATGCTTATTGGCCGATGGCGACCACAAATTTCAATGTATCCAAACGTCCTTCAGTGCACACTTGTAGACTGGCGAGAGGATGCTGGATGCCAAGTTTCAGCTTGATCGGATGTTCAGAGGCAGAGAAAATGCCCTGTTTTTGTTGCTCCGCCCCCTAATTACTTATGCACACAAAATTCGAATGGCTACCTCAGAATGGGCTACTGACATGGCCTGTGAAGTTTGAAATTTTTTGGCTGAAGGATTCTTGAGTTACAGATTTTTCAATTAAATAAGAATTATTTTGAATTTATCCAGAAGGGTTCATTTGCATATAGCAGCCATGTTGTTTATAAAAGTCAAAATGTTTTTGATAATTATTGAGGTTCAGGCTCTTCTGAATTTTTTGACAACAAAGAGATGAGGATCGGGCAAAAATTGTAGGACTAGTTCGCAAAAGTACGTTTCGCATATTTTGCAATATTGTGAAAAAATTTTCTGGGCGGAGATTGATGAACCAAATAGTAAAGTTGTTTGTTTGGACTCAAGGAACTAGGAAAAAAATATGACTTAGCTGGCAAAAATCTGGTTTAGGAGTTATAGGCCAAAACGCGTTGACCTGCGCTGTAGCGCCCCCTTGTGGCCGATTGGGCTGATTCCTTGCGCCTGAGTAGCGGGAGGGACTACTACCTATTGACCAAGTTTGGTGTCTCTAGGACTTATGGTTTGGGCTGTGCGTTCCGTTTC